TACTGCACCAAGCAGGCATGATCCTGTGACCTACTGGCAGTTATTACTAGGCGCTTCGCTCACCACTTCGTAGGTGAGCTGCCTGAACAACTCTTGAAAATTTTTATAGACACCGTATTTACCCAACTAATTACCCTCCCTCAAATAATTATCCAGCCTCTACTAATTGCTCCTTCCAGCGAAAGATCGCAACATACTAACCCAGTTTAATTGTTTGCGTAAATACGGTATCTGAAATCCCTGCCTAGTAAGCGTTTTAAATAATTGTAAGGTGGATCTTCCTTATTTCTTAAATAATTTTATATTTACTATAGAGAGTTTATCAAATTTCATTCTTGCCATTTTTGTCCAAAATTTATTAATTAAATTGCGAAAGTAAAAATTTGTTTTATTAAAAGAGGCTAATTGATTTAAATTAAAACATTTTAATACATCTAGTTGAACTTCAATTGGTAATAGAGAATACATTTTAATTATCTTAAATTATATCCAAATTATTGTAGACAAATAAATTATAAACTCAAGGCAAATAATAGAGGAGGAAAAAGGAGAAGGTCAAAAATGAGACAAAACTTTAAGAGACAAGCCTGCCTAATGGCGGTCGCTCATATAAATTAAAGGACCTTACAAAAAGTTACATTCTCAGAGCTGAAAAATCGTCCATTATAATGAGATATACTTTAAAATATAGGTAATCTGAAACGGAACCGAATGGACATACTTTTTTGCTAAGTAAGTTTCGCTTCGTTCTCCAGGTTATCTTTGTGTCCCTCCTAGTTTAGAATAAATAATATGAGTGTATTTTCCTCACAACAATATTTTCTCCTCATACACTCGATAAAAACGATGCCAAGCTATTCACCTTCATTAGTTGTGCAATAAACAAAGTTAAATAGCCCTTATGGCGTTAGAACAATTAAGTATAGACCAACTAAGATTTTCTTAGCTTATTAATTTTTCAGTAGCTATTTTGAAAACTTGTGTTGGAACTATTATGTTTCCACAATAGAACCGCATTTTCTAATTTTAACTAAAAAGTTTAAGAAATAAAATTTGGATCACGTCTATTTTTTTAAATAAATAAAATTAAAAATGCAATCTCTACCGACTGAAGTTCAACTTGATGTTTTAAAATGTCTCAATTTCGATCAATTAATCTCATTTAAACAACCTAATTTTTATTTTTGGAAGTTGATTACTAGATATGAAGAAGAATTGGCTCGTATAGAATTCATTTCACTCTCGATAGTAAAAATAATTATTAACTAAATTTTTTACTTAAGGTTGATTTAAGGTTTATACCGACAGTGTAGAGTTAGACTCATCTAAAATTATTCCACTTAAATCTGGAATTTATGAATTTACTTTGAATGAGCAACTTAAAAAGAAGGTTAAAATAATTTTTCAAATTATTGTTAGGTATAAGGCAGATTTTTTCAGTGGCAAACAGCAATAGATGAATCAATCCCATTATATTTACATAATTTTGCATATGATACAAAATATGTTGTTTGTTTAGACAAAAAAAGTTTAAGACAAATAAGGGTAATAGTTAAGTTTGTGTTTCCCCTTTTTTCCTTTTGCCTATAGTGTAGTGTACCGAGGTAAAAGTTCGGGACATGACATACGTCATTCGATTCGACTTGACGATCTGAGTCGAATGTTACCACTCACAATTTCAGGAAATAATTTTAGACCGAGTTATAGGTCCAGAAATATTGAAAAACCATAGAAGGGAGTAAGGTCGATTTTGGTATAACTCGGTCCAAAAATCATTTCCTGAAATTGTGAGTGGTACCATTCGACTCAGATCGTCAAGCGAATCGAATGACGTATGTCATGTCCCAACTTTTACCTCGGTACAATACACTACAGGCAAAAGGAAAAATGGGGAAACACAAACTTTACTAGTACCCAAATAAGATCTCTAGATTAAAGCTGTTTTTATAGATGAACAACCCAATTATATTCTTGAATTGCCAAACTTTCCAAAAAATTTACAAGAAATGATTGTTATTCGATGTTGGATGGAACATCTTTCTAAATGTTGTTTCAGATATACTCATTTTTATAAAGCTGCATTTAATCCAGAAATAATTAAATTATTATTTCATAATGACAGAACAGCTTCTCTTAAATTTCACTCTCACTTGTCCTTTATATTAGCAAGCAACGTTAGATTTGGAAAAGTTCTAAAATTCGTTTCAAATCATTTGACATCATTGAACATTCTTGCTATTAAATTTAAGGGTGCTTACAGTGCAGAGTATTATTTTGATGTTTTAATAGAATTTTTGAAGACTGGAAACAAAAACACAAATAAAGTTTGTCTCACTAATTTTGAAAGCTTTGGGGTGATACGGCTTCACAATCTTATTATCAAAGTAATTTATTTACAAATAAGTCACAAATAAATTCAAATTCAAGTATATAGAAACATCTAAAGACTTGTCAAAATTCGTGGCTTCCATTAGTATATCATACTCTTTACCAGAAATTGCCTTATACGAGAATGAATTAGTTGAACTTGCTCAATTCAACGATTTAGAAGATAGCGAATTCGAAATTGTTAATATTCATAATCCAGCATTGAAATTTTCTTTTAACAATTATAAAGAAACTACTTCTATCAAAAGAATGTAAATAAGAAAGATTGAAACAAAATTTGATAATTTTGAACCTTCCGAGCTACACAGTGTGTCCCTTAGCACATTGTGTCCGTTTAAATAATCAAGAATTCATTTTATTTTATTGTCAACAAATTTATTGTCAACAATCTTTTTTGTCAGCAATTTACATAAAAAATATTTTACACAATTGTTTTTAAACAGGGCTTCGATTTCTGCGGATTTTTCCTCATTTTGTGGTTTTTTGATAAAGCGATGAGGATTGTTTTTAAAAATTCGGATTTGCGGATTTTTGTGGTCTTTTGAAGATTATGAGGATTTTTTGTATTTTCTTGTAGTTTTTAGAATAAAATTTCATTTTTTGTATTCCTTGCCTTCCAAAATCCTCAAAATTTTTGCCTGTGGCGCTGAAAAAGGACGATTTTTAGCTTCTTTGACTTCCAAACCCCAAAATTTTTGCCTGCGGCGCTGAAGATGAAGATTTTTCGAGTAAAAAATTCACTACAACTAGGGACAGTGAAAGCATTGGCTCAGGTCAACTGTAATTTTTCATTTAATTTCTCGGATTTTAATAATATAGTTATTACCAGTGAAAAAATTGCTCAATTCAATTGTTGGAGTCAAAAAATATAATGCATAAAGTGATTTTAATTCAAATGTTGTGTTTGATAATTTTTTGCGGATTTTTCATATCAAATGCGGATTTTTTCGATCAAAATTGCGGATTTTTAAAAATTCGAGATCGAAGCCCTGTTTTTAAAACTAAACCAATAAAGAGAACAACACTGTTTGATAGTTTTAAAAATAAAATTTAAATAATTTTTTAATCTAAATTTAAATCTTTTCGTCTTGTCAAATTTATTTTTAAAAATATTTAAAATAAAAAAAATTTATCCGAACAAAACTACAAATTTTGATTTTTAAAAATTTAATCGAAAATAATTTTGTAGTTATTAATTCATAAAAGCCAAATGACAAAATTTTTAAACAAATTTGTAATAAAAACAGAAAGTTAGATCGGAAACCGACAATTTTTATTTTTTAGGCGTTGTTAGTCACAAAACTCCGAACTGTAAATTATAAGATCTAACAATAAGTATGCTTTTTTAAAAGCCTCAATTTGCACTTTCACTCCCATATAAAAAACAAGGTAAAGCGCGTGACCATAACGGAGCAAATGCTTCTAGCTTCATAACTTGCTTCAAGATTTACAAATCTTATCAAATTTAAAATTAAACGATTCCTCTCATCGAGCTAAAAAATTTGAATCAAAATTGATAAGGGCCAGAAATTTTCCAAGTAGTTATGGCTTTGCGCCGTTCTGGCCGCGTCCTACTTGGGCGTACCTCTAAAAATCATATCTGAAAAATATAGATTAAAAAAGCATGAAAATAAAGTCCGTCTAGAAATTATGAGACCACGTATTTTTTGTGGGCCGCACAAATTTCCAACTGATTAAATGGGATAAACCTTTACTATTATTGGATATTCTGTAAATATTGTGATATTGAAAGTCTCAACTTAGAAAATAGAATTGAATGACTACAAATAATGAATGGTCTTATAATTTCTTAACAGACTTTATGTATAAACTAGAGACCGGCAAAATCGCACTTCCGGGATCCCGAGTCTGGATTTTTTCTTAACCGATGCCAGGACGGTATCCCGAGGGAGAAATCCCGAGAAAATCCCGAATTTCAAAAATCCCGAAAAAAATTATCCGGGATCCCGCCCGGGATTCAGGATTTTTTTCAAAATAAAAAATTTAAACATTTTATGAATAAAGTGCATAAAATACTGCAATTTATATGTAAATAAAATTAAATTTGTAAAAATATCAATAATTTTTTATAATTGGATTGTCCTCCTCCTTTAATTCGCTCTATAATGGATTTAGAGGGATATCGGTGGATTAATCACTAGGTCCCTTGATAAAATCCCACTATATACTAATATCCCTCCGCTTTATCTCCAGTAAAGACTCCAATTATCTCCCATTTTTAGCGCCGCAGGCGAAAATTTGGGGAATTTTGGAAGATCCTTAAGCCAAAAATCTTCCTTCCAGGCGCCGCAGGCGAAAATTTTGAGAATTTTTAAAGGACAAGAGGTCAGATTTCTTCTTTTTTCTGCGCCGCAGGCTAAAATTTTGAAAATTATAAAAATCCCGAAAATTATAAAAAATATCCAGGATCCCGAGTCGGGATTTTATTTTTTAACCGATGCCGGGACGGGATCCCGAGGGAGAAATCCCGAAAAAATCCCGGATCCCGAATGATCCCGAAAATCAAAAAAATCCGGGATTTCGGGACCGGGATCCCGGAAAATCCCGTCGGGATCCCGTCCCGCGCCGGTCTCTAGTATAAACTTTATTTATTATTTCCATTTAGCATAATGTGTTTTAGTTAAAAAATGAGCTCTGAAGTTAAATGCACTAGAAAAATCTAAAAAACATTTAAATAGCAAATTCTTTGCATAGTAGTGTGGATATAATATAGGATATAATCTAACGGTATCAGAAATAATCCATGTTTGAATTTTAAGCGGTAAGTATTCCAAATTATATTTCTTACAACCAGTACATTTTTCGTTACATTTAGTTTGAGATCGAAGAAGCTTCTCAAAACCAAGTGCCCAATCATGACAATTAAGTTTTAATAATGCATATTTTTCTTGTTCAAAGATGTAATACACATCAGTTTTTACTTTCGATGATAGTTCCTCAACTTTAGAAAATGTTAATCCTTCAGTGCAATGAACTTTCCAAGCATAAATCACTTTTGATTTATCTGGCCTTCCAAAACTGAAATATTGTACATTATTAGTATGCATATATAATCATGACAATTTACTATTTAACTCTTAGGTAAATAGGCAAAGAATAATAAAGGTACTAAATAGAGACTGACTTGGAGTGACGAGAATCAGATTATATCGAACAATATTGCTCTAACGACTCAGCTCAATGAGTCGCTAGGAGGGGAATTCCGTGAAGCTTATAAAACCCGGTGAGAATTTTAAAAAAGTTTGAAAAGCCTACTTTACACGTTCTCCTTCACGCGCAAAGTCATAAGATTTGTAGAATATTTCATTACATTTATTACATTTATATTTAACCACAACAATCGAATGTGTAGCTCCTTAAAATGGATGATTATGTCTAGTGGTAAATTTATATTTAAAAATAAATTTACCATAACAGAAAGTACGATTGCGCCAGATTTCAATTACAGTGGAATCTTTGTAATGTTCACAAGGTTCAGAATCACTAAATTTAATAAAATTTGTTTTACTCTTCAAAATTATCGTTTTAGATCAACTTATCTCCCAATTTTACTTAAGGTATTCAGAAATAAAGAATTTACTTTCAAAAATTAACATACCTACGCCAACTATTACCATTTTTTGAATTTAAGCTTCCCATTTTTAAATAATTGTGTCTTTAGATTAAACAGAATGTTAATGTAATTTGAAAAAAATAAGAAAATAAACAAAATCTAGCCGATTTTTCTGAATGAAGGAAAATTATGTGTAAAAAATAAATGTATATTGGATAAACAATGTGTGTTGAAAATAATTTCAATAGATTGAATGGTAAAATATCTAGAAGGAAAAAAACAAAAGATAAATTGCTAATTTTGTGTAAAAATGTAAGTAGAAGTGTAAATGAATTTAAAAAATAAAATTTTAACTTTTTAAAAGTGTAGAATAAAATAGATAAAATCAACACAAAGGGTTGCCATACTTGATTTTTTATTAAATAAAATTATGCAATATTATTCCCTAGAATTTATTTAAAGTTACAACAAATCGACAACCCAAACCAAAAATCTCCAATTTTTTGTTTTAATCTTATATTCGTTTTTTGGTTTGATTAAGTTTGAAATCGATAACCCTAATCATTAGTTTACTTTTACAAAATATCGCAAGATATGAGTTATCGCGAGATAATTTTAAAAATATCGCGAGATTATTGGATATATTTTTAAACATTTCATAGTCCGTTTTTGTTTATTTAGATTCCGTCCATACATGTTTTTCGGTCATAAATGAAAGATACTAAAACTAAACACATAATTATGAGAATGGAAGTTGGGAAAAACCACTGGGAAAAATATAAAATTTTAATTTGCAAAGATCAACGCGAATCAAAAAATTTTCAAACCTAATATGTTTGCCATAATACAATTTGAAATTATCAAAAGCTCTTCGAAACGAGTTTGTTATCGAACTTATTTTAATGATTTCATGATAGTTTGCTTGAAAAAATTAAAAATATAAAAATTTAAAAAATTAATTATAAACTTATTTTTTGGATAATTTACTCTAAATATAACAGTTTTTATAAAATTGTTTTCTAATTTTTTAAAGATTGAAATTTTAATAGCCTTAATTTAATTCAATAAAGCGGATTGCACATTTCTAAGTCAGATACAATTTTATTTTTTATTTCTAAAAATTCATTTGCATTATTTCTATTTACAATTTTTATTTGAGCAAAATCATCTGCTGTTTTTTTCTTTTTTTTTTAATTTATCTAATATTTATATGTATTAAACTTTTGTTTATTTTTGACATATGTAGAATTTTTTATTCAAAAAAAATCGGTTGGATGCTAACTTTTTATATGTTTATTTTTGACAAATTACAGATTTTAATATAAATAATTGTAAAATTTATATTTAGTTATAAATTTGTTGTTTACTTTTTTAATAATTATTTCCGTTAAAATTTCTTACAAGGGGACATTGTTTACTGTAAGTGCGAATTTGCTATATTTTTTGATACCATTCGACAGAGGTCGCCCTGAATTGCCATATCTGTATAAAAACAATTGAGAATACTACTTATTTAAAAGTATTTTTAATAAAATTATTTTGATATTTTTAGATGTTTTAAGCCTGTTAATTTATTTAAACAATAATTTTTTTCAGCAAATAAATTTCAAAATTAAATTGTCAAAATTTTTTAAATCACTTTATATTCCCATAATCCCCTCCTTATATTACTTTTAATCTATCCAAATACACGATACAAGGAAACGAATAAGTTTTCATGAAAACGAATAAAACTTTGCAATAGGATAACGGGGGTCATCTATCAAATGGTACCAATTAAAACAATCTGACTTTTAACATTTATATGATTTCCGATGTTACAAAAATTTTTAAAAATTAAACTTTTATATCAAAGTTATCATTATATTTCTCATTTAAAAAGTATCCTTTAATTATTTCACTTCAATTATTATTTTAATGCTTGGATTGAAACAACTGGAGTAGTAGTTATTCTCGAAAACAAAAATTTTTTGATGGAATTGTGGTAGTCTTTGCTAAATAAATTTTATTAAAGTTTAACTATAAATTATTTAAATAAGTTGGGGTCATTTTGACCTCATTTTTTTGGGGTCATTTTGACCTCGGTTGTCTATAAGTCGGTCCTATCAGATTAGGTTGATTTTGCTGTGTTTCGACTCAGCTCAAAGAGCTCTTTCGACTGAGCTATAATTTGTGTTTTTGGGGTGAATTATGAAGAAAATGAAGTGATTAATAAGAATTTAGGGGTTTAAGAAAGAGATTTAGGATTAACGGGTTATTGGATTAAGGGGCTTATTAATTGATTAATTAACTTTTAGGATATTTAATTTATACTTAATGTGTTTATTAGTATACATGTATTTATTAGTATACATCTTCATAATCCACCTTCGTAAACAACTATCCATTCAAATTATCCTTTCAAATCCATTCAATAAATATTTCGGCTTTACAATTTTATGTATGAATAGTTTTTAAGAACAAAAAATACTTATATCTCGTGTCTCGTGAAATCTCGTATTTTTTGAGAGATCTCGTATCTCGTTTTATCTCTTTCTGTATTTTTTTGAGAATCTCGCATCTTTTGTCACGTATTTTGCGGCACGAGCTCCACCCCTGGTATATACATACCATTCGAAAGCTTAATTCGTATCTCGTTTGACATGTTTCAGCATTTTATTTAAAAATTTAAAATTTCTGAGAGTATTAACATAATACGTAAAAAATATCTAAAGGCTGTTATTTTTTCCAACCTGCAATTATAAAGAACGAAAGTATTGGCACATCCAACAAAAGTCAAAATTAAATCAAAGCAATTTATGATTATAAAACCTAAAGGGTAAGGACTTGGAAAAATTATTGGAACTAATTGACGACTGATACAAGTACATATCCATCCAAAAATTATCATTAATAAAATAATCATTATAGATTTGTTTACTCCTTCATGTTTTTTGACGTTATTTTGAGTAGTTGGAGCCTTTTTTCGAAAACGCAGTCGAATAAATATCAAAATATAACAAAACACTGCAGCAGCTGTTAATGTAAGACAAATACGTAAAAGTATATCCCCATAAACACCATTCCAAAAATCAGCAATGGAACAACGCAACATTCTAAATTAATATTTTTAGCACATTCAAACGAAAAATATATGTATTTAAAATCAGCCAGAAATCAAAATAAGAAGGAAAATATTAGTAAAGGGACGTGAGATCGGCAATTTTTCGGTAAACTGCCTCGGAGGATACTTGCCACTCGGTGTGCTATCTTTTTTCATTTATTTGGTTAATAGTCGAATTTTTCTGAGAATATAGGGCATGAGTCCTAGTTCATTTTAAGCCATAATATGAATTGATTCTCCGTCCAGAATAGCTCGCATCTCGCTTTTTCTCATCAAAACCCATGGATTTGAGTATACTCGCAATTTAGCCCGGTTCACGTCCTCGGGCGTGCCTACTGATTAAGTTCTGTCACTTTTATTAAAGAGAACAGTCACCAAAAAAATTTGGTACTTTCCTTCAAAATTAACTTAATAGATGAAGTTTAAGGGAAATATTTTTTTATATTAATCAAAGATTTCAAACGTCGAGTTATTATTTGCTGAATATATAACAGCAAAATATGAAAGCAAAATGCCAACAGCCACTGCAATTGTACACAACAAAGATAAATAACTTTTAATAGCCAGATTTCGATGCCTTAATTTAAATTTAATTTTAGTTAGTTTAAACAGACTAATTTTAAAAAATTTGTCTTTTGGAAATAGATAACCTCTCAAATTAAGTATAATTCAAACCTATGTTTTCGAAACTATAATATAAAGTCCGTGTCCGGACAATGCGATAGTGGATTGATAATCGGTCAATGAAATATATAGGGGGATTATGGGACATACAGTACCCACATCGATAGATTTGTGGGGATTAAGAGGATTTTGATTAGGGGTTTATTTTTACTATTAATGGAATGAATGAATGAAAATACCAAATAGGGAAAAACACAGCAAGTAAACGATCAAACCCAATAAAAAATACAAAAACAAAGGACATATGAAAAGCAGTAATTGGAGCAATATTAAACCATAAACATCCATTTCTTGTTACTTTAAATTTTCCATAAATTGCATAAAGAAGTGAGGCAATTATGCCTGTGGAAGCAACAATTAGATCACAAAATGCATTTATTCCAAGTAAATAAAAACAGCTTGAATTAAGCGCTCTTAATGTTTAATAATGTGTAATTTAGAAATAAAATCAAAAATACTTTTTGAATTTAATTGTAATTAAAACAAGAAATCCATTAGAAAATACAGAGAAAATGCTCAGAATTAACAGCGCAAGTATATCTATTAAAGTAAAAATGTCTTGATATTCATCACATTGACAGTTTGGAGATTGCTAAAATTTGTTTTCAATTTTTCATTTAAAAGCTTACAGGATCTTTTGGTCCATTTGTATTGATTTGTAGCATTTATTTTTTAATTTTGGAGTTTCTACTTTTAATTTTTAAAATTTACTTAATTTTTTAAATTATGCGGCCGTTTAGATTCAGTGATCCTTTAGTATAGTATCACTTTCCTAAAAATTTACAAGAATTCCAGCAAGCTTATATTGATATTATAAAAATTAGCCTTTCTAAATGAGCCCAAAATGGAAATTTGAAATAATCCATAAGGGGTTGTACCCACGTCTTGCGTTGAATTTCAGGTGTTGGGTTCAAACTAGAGTTCGGAACTAGACTTATTTTTGTTCCAATAAGTCTAGTTTAAATGAAGAGTTTAACTTTTCAATTTTGATTTTTAACTTGGAAATTTATTTTTAAATACATATACATAATCAAAAGAAAAAAACAATGTAAAATTTAAATTGAGTTGTTTCACAATTGAAATCAATTTGAAATTGTAAATGGATTTGGGGATTAACAGAGTTATCGAGGGGAATTAAGCTTAACAGAGTTATCTAAAATGGATAAATGTGGAATATGTAGATACTTATAGAATATCTAGGGATTTCTGAGGATTCCGTGGATTTGGGCATATTTCTTCCTTTTTTAGCGCCGCAGAAGAAAATTTTGAGAATTTTCTCTTAATCTACAAAATCATAAGCTTTTGTTCGGACTTATATATTTTCTTGGGACTCATAAGTAGAGGTCAGGCTGGGTTGAGATCTCGAAATAAATCTCTGTTATCGAGATCGATATTTTTTGAGATATCGGTCCCGATACTCATACGACTCTACAATTCCGATTTCTCCTCAAAGCCTACATTGAACTCGTAAACTTTGAATGTACTATGTATAGCAAAATAGAGCCAATAAACTATTCCGAAAAAAGGCAGGGTTAGGCCAAGAGATTCCAACACAATTGGCCAAGGGTTTACCACCAACAAAAGATTCAGCAAAAGCTTGCTTGGATTAGGCCAAAAGATTCCAACACAATTGGCCAAGGAATTAGAACACCAAATAAAAGCCAAACAAATAGTAATAAGTTTATTTCACACAATTAAAATCCAACAAGTAAATTAATGATAAGGCCACAAGAACCAGAGCTATAAAACCAAGAGAAGCAAGCCAGACAGAATGAGCTAATGAGAAAGCTAGCTAACCCAGAAAGAAGCTGCGAACGAAAGCGCTAAATTGGGGTTTGGAAGGGGAGATTATATAGGCCAGAAAAATAGGCGGGTAGACAGAAAATATTTCGATCATTAAAGGCATAATAGGAACGATTAAATAAAAATGCACATGTTTTGAATGATACAAAAGAGTGAAAAATAAAGTTAAGTTTTAGAACAAAAGGACTAAAAATGTAAATAGAGTTTGAATAGATGTTTACAACAAAAAATGATTTTTAGCCAGGTGAAAGTCCGAAAAAGGAATTTGCAAAAAATGATGATTAATTTAGAATTAAAATTATAAAAATATATTTATTTTATTTTCCTCATCCTTAGTCGCTTCGCGACATTCCCGCCCGCGCCTGAAAGTTTCATCCTCAATTTCTTTTTTCCATCTTTCAAGTATTTTCTTTCTTTTCTTGATCTTTGGCACATCATCCATTGCACATTTTCTGCTCTCTTTCCATGCATGTGCCCAACCATCCATAACATTAGTAAAGATGGCGAGAAAGGTCCAAAAGGAGTTGATCGCAACAGCGGCGGCGAAAAGCGTTAAGGAGAGCCAAGAGGGAGTTTCCAGAGTCAATTCCTCTTCCATCTTTTCATTCGTTTTACATTTCCAAAGCTTATTTGTTGCGTGGATAATTATCATCAGAACATTTTTAGTGCCATCCAGAATCATAACAAAGGCGGCTAAGACCAGCACAGACATTTTCATATCTATCCATGAGCGGCAAAAGGCATAGAAATCTGGTGGTTCCAGTTTTTCTCGTTGGCATTTTTTGTGGTAGGCGTGCACTTCCCGTTTTAGCTTACCATTTCTGGCAATCAATTTTCGGTTAGCCTTCTGAAGGGCATTAACACGAGTCTCTTTCAGAATTCTTTTTCCATGATCATCCACAATCCTCTGATTAGATTCATCCAGCAGACGTTTTAATCGTTTAGCTTTTTTGGATTCATCCTCGGCCTTTTTGCGTGCCAACATAAGTTCGGACATCAATTTCACTATCGTTTTATCTTTTTCTTGGAGAGCTTTCGTCTTTTCATCCAACATCTTTTTAACTTCAAACATCCCAACCGGCTTCGAACAATGAGCATCGCTTTTTCGCATAGGTTCCAGAATTTGAGTTTTTGGCCCACGTGAATAGCAAACCATGAAGTGGTGCTTTCCGCGACACCTACTGCAACGGCGATTATTTTGGCATTCAAAGGTTAGATGGTCATCCCTCAGGCAGTTAAGGCAACGATGCTGTTCGAGTAATTTGTATTTCCTAGCTTTTGGGTTGCTATATTGAGTACAGTGGCTCGGGAGGTGATTCCCTCTACATAATGAGCACTCCAGGCAACGGTTCTGTTCCACCACTCGATTTTTATTAACCATAGGCGGCTGTGGCGTAGGTGACGGATTATCCGGGAGCCTTGCCGTAGGCGGCTCAAGCGTTTTCCCATTTTGGCCTCCAAGATCGTCTGTACAGTTATCTGACGATTTGTTCATTTCAGATGGGTCAGAACTATCTTTAGTAGGCGGGCCAAGATTCTCCAGCATTATTCCAATTGATACGGCCATTTGTCGGGCAAATTTGCATTGAGTAACAAAGTCCTGTTGAGAGAGTAGGAAGTCTGGCATGAACTCGTAAGAAGGTTCGTTAGATGGAAAATCCCTATATAAATCTTCTTCAGCTAATTTCTTTAAGCCATGCAGTTTAGACATATGTTTGTTCCATTCGAGGTCGAGCTTCTCTATTTTAGAAATAGTTTCCTCCAAATGCGATTTTTCCACATCTAGCAAACTGTAAGTGGTAGCATCTCGTCCCATCTTCATTATACGCATAGCCTCTATAGAATGGAATTGCATCTCGCTCAGAGCGGCCAACAAATCACTTCGGATTTTTCCTGACATTGTCGTTACACAGATTAGCGGCAAGTGGCTTCAAAAGTTGCAACGGTTAAATGGCTTTCCACCAATAAGTTTTAGAGTTTCGGCAATTGGCTCTTCTCAAATTGAACACAGGCTGCTCGGGGTTGTGATGCTGCACGAATGCTAGACCACAAGTTCCCGGCCGTTGCACCAAAAAAATATATAGCAAACAAATAGAGCCAATACACAAATAGGGATTTCGCAAGAGCTGGGTTAGGCCAAAAGATTCCAACACAATTGGCCTAGGGATTTAACCACCAAATAATTAAAACCAAACAAATAGTAATAAGTTTATTTCACACAATTAAAATCCAACAAATAGATTAGTGATAAGGCCACAGGAACAGGAGCCACAGAACCAGAACAGAATAAAGCCAACAGAAAAAGCCAAACAGAATGAGCTAATGAGAAAGCTAGCTAACCCCGAAAGAAGCTCCGAACGAAAACTAAACACCAAAAAAGCTAAGCACCGAAAGAAGCTAATTGGGGTTTGGGGTGGGAGATTATATAGGCCAGAAAAATAGGCGGGTAGACAGAAAATATTTCGATCATTAAAGGCATAATAGGAACGATTAAATAAAAATGCACATGTTTTGAATGATACAAAAGAGTGAAAAATAAAGTTAAGTTTTAGAACAAAAGGACTAAAAATGTAAATAGAGTTTGAATAGATGTTTACAACAAAAAATGATTTTTAGCCAGGTGAAAGTCCGAAAAAGGAATTTGCAAAAAATGATGATTAATTTAGAATTAAAATTATAAAAATATATTTATTTTATTTTCCTCATCCTTAGTCGCTTCGCGACACTATGAAACACTTTCCTTGGACTAAACAAGATCAGAGCCAGAAAGAATTAATACAGATATGTCTTCTTTATCTTCATTTTATATATTAATAATTTAGCTTTTTATACATAAAGAAATTAACTGGATAACTAATTGGATACTTTAAAAATTTTAGAAAATTTTAATACACTTTTAATGAGATATTACTAACATCTATACCAACAATACTGTTAAAAATGCGTCAATGGAAGTTACATTACTACATACATATATTAATGAAAAGTACATTTTTTGGCACTACTGAAGAAAAGGGTGCTTTTTCTGCGGACTTTTTTTGCGGACTTTTCCTTTCTTTTAAATGTTTTACTTGTAGCAACTAACTGTCAAAGGTCCTCCCCCCTATTATTTTTCTTACCTAAGATTGTACATAAAGGTCAGATTTTCTTCTTCCTCTCCTTCCTCTATTTGCTCTGTGGCATATTCAAACAAGTGACATTGATAAAGAGAAGATTAATTTTATACATAGTCATACACTTATTTTTTGCCTTCGAAAACAATTTAAACCAAAAAAGAATTAAATAAAATTGATTTGGTGTATAACATTATGAATTTCTGTGTAAAAACATTACATTCTTACTTATATTTAAAAATATTGAACAACTGAAAAAATAAAATGATCTCAATATTGAACAACTCAATTAATCTTCTCTTTATCAACAATGTCTCTTGTTTGAATATGCCAAGCTTAAATAGAGGAAAGAGAGGAAGGAGGAAATCTGACCATTTTGTACAATCTTAGGTAATAAAAATAATGGGGAGGGGACAAGGTTTGAAATTACCCGCATTTCTGTCCACAATCACATATTCTATTTCTATGAAGCATTCCGAGATCAGTGATCCATTGTTGAAATTCATCATCGGGTAATTGAAAATATGTAAAAGTCAATTTCAACGTTTATAATGTTCAAATTAATGGTGAACACATATTTTTCAAATTGACATAAAAATCAATCCTTTGACCGTTAGTTGCTACAAGCGAAACTTGCTACAAGCAAGACAAACAAAACATTAAAAAAGAAACATTTAAAAGAAAGGAAAAGTCCGCAAAATAAGTCCGCAGAAAAAGCACCCTTTTCTTCAGTAGTACCCATTTTTTTCTTGCTTAAACAATTTTCACTTGTCATACAATTTTATCTTAAACAATTTTTACTTGTCGTTAATTTAAGCGTAAAAAAATAAAAAAATGGACGTGAAAATACATTTTTTTCTAATTATACAGTAGCCGATACGCGTTTTAAAAGTTGGCTCTGGTGTATGTAGTTTATGCAAGTATACCTTAGAAAATTTATCTGCTCCATTTGTTAAAATTTCAAATAAAACATTTATACACTGTGTCACAAAAGTATAAGCACCCCTGTAAAAATTTTATTTCTATTTATTGTAAAATTCTACAAAAAATAGTGTAAACATCTCTGTCGATGTTATAAAAAATAAAAAAAGAATTAGGCCCATATCTCATTACAGTGTCGAGATCTCGATACCCTTAAAATCAACGTAAAACAGGGTTTTTCAACTTCAAAAAAATTTTTCGACCCCTTATGGTTTGTTTTAAATTTTCAATTTGAGCTCATTCGAAAGCCCTTTAAATTTGCTACAAGATAGCATATTTCAGAAAAATTATTCTCAAGATAAACAATAAATTGATTGCAAATCAGACGTTTCAATCCAAAGTTTAAAAGATAGTTATCAGAATCGTAGTAAATTAACATATTGGCTTGCTGAAAATGAATTTGAAGAGGTATTTTTGTTGTTTTTTTCACATAAAATCATTTGTGGAGCAAGTATAAATTGATAAAGTTGAACATTTTCAAAGAGAAAGAACTCAAATAAGGACGGAGATTAAGAGACCAACACAGTTCCCGATCTACTTGAAGGATCATGAACTTTAATTAAACGTAGAGAATAGATAATAACGATTAATGGCCATTAACTTTAAATAAATAAATATCTTTAATTTTTACATCTCATATTAATCAAAGTTCCGGTTAACAAACTGATAATTAATTAAAAAGTATCTTTATTTGTTAGTAAATCTATTAGTTAGATTTTTTTAAAAATATATTTAAATTAACTTTTCAACTGAAATAAAATGAGAGTGAGAGAGAATTAAATGAGAGAAAAGTGACAAAAAAAAGGAAATTTTTGAACGCTTTGATTTTTATAAGTTTAGATTTTGTGATGCTACGGAGGGTAGGCAGGGCCTTTTGCACTAGCTAAGTCTTAGCTATACGATGGCCTTCGCTATACAATCGCTTCGTTCGCGACGGCCGTAGCGAAGCGGGGCCGTCGTTCCGCTCGACATGCCCGGCTTCCTCCGCAGCAGCAAAAACTTTCTTCCGCGAAGGTAATCTCATTCGAAAGAGTTCGGTGAGCAGAGTCTACTGAAGATGCTGGTTCGCTCCCAGCCGCCGAATAATCTTTTGCACTAGCTAAAGGGGAGAAATAGCTATAGCCCAGCTGCTTTAATGTACATATATTGTGCAATAGAGCCCTTTTTTATTTTATTCAACACAAATTATATTTATTTTTAAATATTCTACCCCCAAAGTAAAAAAGTAAAGATTTTTTGATTAATTATGAAAAGAAAGAAGAAAAATTTAAGAGACCCTGCCGTCTCGATTCCCGAAATCTGGAAATTATTGTTTATACCGGCAGGATCCGAAGTACATACTACAATAAAGATATAAGGAAGAAAACCATGAAAATAAGAAGGAAAAAGGAAAGAAAATGAATAGAATCATCCACAAAGATTGTTAATATTTAGTCATTAATTTCCAAATTTTTCACAAGAGCCAAATTTCCCTTGCCCAAAATAATTACATTCCAGACCATCACAACATTTAAAAGTATTACCATCATTACCACAGGTTTCGAATTCCTTCAAACACGTTTCACATTTATTGGAAGAACAAAAAGATCCATAACAACAATACTTATCTTTAGTTATATCGCATTGATCACCTTGTTTAACACAATTGTAAGGTCTACAGAATGAACCGCCATCTGCTTTAGTTTTACAATTTAGAGCACTACAGCATTTATTTTTGTTATTGTCACAATTGAATTCATTTTTTTCAAGACAACAATTAATTGGTGTAAATAATATAAATAAATTTAGAAATAAAAATTGAACAAGAAAAATATTATTTAAAGAAGCCATTTATTATAATTAATTTTTTTTCTGAAATTTTTATTTTTAGTACACTATTTCCCGAGATTTTATAAGTGGTGTCGTTCAAAATTACCTGGAAAACTGGATCGAAATGGGTGTGGGCAGAGTCGATCCGACAATTATGGACAAAGTTTCCTTAAAATTCTTTAATATCCCTGTAAATTCCCGAAATCAATATGTAGGGATTGACGTGGGTTAACCGATCTAAAGCTCAGTCAGTGGCTCAGTTGTCGCCCAAAAAGCTCAGTTGTAGAGCTCCTTAAGTGTTGAGCGAAAGCGCCTAGCAATAACTGTCAGGAGGTCACAATCCTGCTGGATGGCTAAACTTTTGCTAAACTCTTTCTCATATATGTAAATCAAACTGGTATCCTCTCAAATCCCTCCAAATCCCGGATCTCTAGGCTTTTGTGAAAGAATTTTGGAGACATATCAAAGAATATCTCTCCAAATGAGAGAAATATCCCTCCAAAGTTCCAGATATCCACACTTTTAGACAGATTATGGATGTGTATCAGGGACGGTATTATTCTCAATATTTCGGATATTAATTAAAATAATTGAAATGATACATGCATTGCTAGCCTTTACCAGCATTTTATATAAAGCCCATATAACGCATAATGTTAAGAGTAATCTCAATCTACAAACTACTATTGAGCTTTAAATAAACATAATTAATTCGCAAATGGTTACCACTTTACCGCAGAAGTTGAATGAAGCCGTGAAAATTAGCTAAAACTACGGGGCAAAATCTGGCATTGCGGTAATTGTGGAGGTATCATTAAAAAAATGAATGCAAACAAAAAGGATTAGAAATCCACGTTTAGAATTTTGTTAATGAATACATCCGTTTTTGCCTTAAATCCAAAATCTACCTGTATTAAATGAAACGCTATATAGAATTAAGTGACTTTTGATTTTGCCAAATTACAAACTACAAAAGAGTTTTAATTAAAATTAATTTTTATAGAGAGAAAACAAATAAGGTTAGAGAATGGTTATCATTTTCCCGCAGAAGCTGAATGGCACCGTGAAAAGGGGCTTAAATGAGGAGGTAAAGTTGGATTTGCGGTAAAATGGGGGTTATCCTGAATAAATAAATGAAATAATAGGTATATTTAAAATCTAAATTGAGAAAAAAATTAAATAGAATTTTGGTAAATGCGTACGTTTTAACCAAAAATCAGGAGGAAGGAAAATTCGAAAATAAATTTTACTAAAACAAACATTTAATATTATTCTATACCTAGCCATAATTTCGAAAAATAAATTTTCCAAAATTAACTCGATAAATTCAATACAAATTATATTTATTTAAATATACTACATACCAGGGATGGGACGGGTTACACGAAACCCGATATACGGTCTTTTCCCGACCCAAACCCGATCCGAGGAAATTTTTGAAAATCCGATCCGAAATATAAAAATCCGATCCTAATATAAAACAAACTTCTTTAAATAATATTTTTCTTTTTCTGTGTATTTTTATTTTTACATTTATTTACGGGGTGGAGAACTGTTTAAGACTATTATGTTTATTGGGGGAAATGAGTCAGCTTTTGATGATGAAATTAAGAAAATTAATTGAAGAGATTTAACTATTTATGCCCTAGAGCGGTTCATATATTAACAATTAAATATTTGTAGAAATTCAAAAATTATTATTGAGATGTTATATAAATTGAGTTTAAAGATGTTCAAAAACAAACTGGTGTGCTCTATCTCGAGTTAAAAATAGTGAAAATTAAATTTTCTAAATTAAAAAAAAATTTAACCGTGAGATTTTTTAATAATATTTTTTTATCAATTCCATTTTCAAACAAATTAACAAATTTTTATTTTAGTTCTATCAGATCCATTCTCCTCCATTTTTCGTGATTACATAACAGTTGATCCATAGTATTCCTCTTCTTCACTGCAAAAATACAGTAGTATTTATGGAGTGGTTCTTTTATTCGATATTATTGATATCTTTATAATTAGAACTAACTGATTAAAAAAATTTAGCGTGATAGTTGATAAATTTTATCACTACTAATGTGATCCATATCAGAGGTGGGTCGGAATTTCAATTTCCGGCGTTATTTTCCTTCCGATTTCCGAAAAAAATTTTGATTTCCGATTTTCACTTTTGAGCAATTTCCGATTTCTGGCACTTCTGATTTCCGACACCTCTGACTGTTCCGACCAATCTATTTTCCATGTCAAACTAATGAAAAATAACAACCCATTCTTTAATAGAAGCCTAATCCCATATAAACCCACCCAAAGTGATTTATTGAAAAATAAACGCCCAGGGCTTTAATTACGCTAAATTTGCTTACACGTACTATATTCATTATGCACAACAACAAATAACACAATCACCCCCGCAATCAACATTTCCACAATCTAATCCACTACAGTCACAACCAGAGCAGTCACAACCAGAATTTGGATTAGAAGCTAACGAGCAGCAACAAAAGATATGCCCCAAGCATTCCATACAGTCTGTTGGGAGACAATGATTACAACAACCACCTAAAAAATAGAAATTTCTAATTAATTTTTCTTATAATAATTTAAATAAGAATTCCACCCAGGGTTGTCTTTACAAACCACTAACATGGGGCGAAGCCACTCAAAAATGGAGAAAAATAGGGCGAAATCTGTCAAAAATAGGGCAGCTAAATATGGCAAATTTATAAAATAGGGAAAAAATATGGCGAAAAGATCAAAAATGGGGAAAATCCTCAATAGGGTAAAAAGAAACCCCTGATTCCATCACTAAACCAAATCATAAAATAATATTATGTATGACTCAAAAAAAATGTATGACTCATAAAAAAATTATATTTTTTCTTAAAAAATATTATTTAATTTTTTAAAAAATATTTTTTAATCTAAAAAATTCTAACCACAGTCAGAACATCTACTACAATCTGGCCAAAAACAACAATCTACAGGAATATAATTATAACCAGGAGTCCATCTTTTCTCGTTTTGTTTATCGTCTAATTGTTTGGCATATCCGGTTAATTGTGGTTGTTCTGTAATGCATTGTTGTGACATTTAAATATTTTTTGTTAAAGGGAATTTTTTTTAAATGAGTGAATTGAAGGAATTAAAAATTATAATATTTTTAAATTTTCTTTAAAAAGTTAAATTTTTTATCAATATAAAATAAAGGAAATAGAGATGGCTAGTCATTTAAAATAATAATTTGCTAAGTAAATATGTATGACTCATAAAAAATTATTTTTAAGAAATTTGGCAAATAAAACAATTTAATTTTTTAAAATAATCGAAATTAATATTTTTATTTTTTCTTTTAAATTAATTTTTAAATTAAAATTTATTTTATAAATTGTATTAAATTTTGTTAGATTTTGTTGTTCTCAAATCTTAAGATGAATTTTCAATTTTAATGTGTTTAGCCTGGAAAAAAAAACTAAAACTAGTTATTAGACCATTTTTATTAGACGTCTCTCCTCTATATTTTTAAAGTGTTAAAGATATCAAGAAATAAATTTTCAATCTTTACCCAATCAAAATACTGCAAATTAATTTAATAAAACAAAAACAATTTACTCGAAAAATTAAATAAAAACATTTTTAAAAATATTTCGTTAACAAATTATAATTCCACTTTCATAATTCTGACATGAATGCGAACAATGCCATTGTCTATCCATTGTTCATTACAAAATGAAAATTTCACTTTTGGATTGTAAATATTGGAAGTTTGGAATTTTACATAAAATCCAGAACTGAATGTTTCAATTTTAATATTTTTAGCATTCTTGTTCAATTGAAAAGTTGAGGAAGAAATATAATTTAAGATAATAATAGGCACAATTTTTGAGCAGTCTGATGTTGTTATACACTAAAATTAAAATTAATACTTGACTTATTCTTGGGTTGGGGTCATAAGGGCGCGGGGCCATAAGGGCGCCAGCACTAGAAACTGACACATAGGCGAAACCGAAATTTATGAAAATTTTCTCAAATTTCTTTAACATCCTAGACTACCTCCTCCATAAATTATGGAATTTTTCATCGAATATTTCTGAAGTTATAGTCGATAAACCGCGAAAAATTAGGTTTTTCTCGGAAAATCAACATTTTTGGCCACAATTTCCGAAATTCTTGATCAAAAATTCTGAAATTTTTGGATAACGTAGATAAAAACATGAGAGTTATTATTGCAAAATTTTATCTTTTTTCATAAGCAACTCACCGTTTTATAAGCTCGCACCCTAATGGCCCCGCGCCCTATTGGCCCAGTCCCTTATTCGTTATCAAATAATAAATTAGCTTAATAACCTGTATTATTAGGTCATAAAGCCTTGCCAAATCAACACTATAAAAACTATTGAAACAAACTTTAGGTAATCTTTGGCCTCCATTAGTTAAAATTTTAAATAAAATATTTATATTTTCCTCTGTGATATCAGCCTGTTTAAAATTGAAAGTAAGAGATTCGGAAATTATCAAGTGATTCAGAACAAATTTGGAAATATTTTTTAATGTATTATTTTCTGTTAATAAACAGCATTCTTGAATATTAAATTGAGGAGGAATTGTTTTGTCGTTATCAAATAATAAATTAATTAATTCTGGATTAAATACAATTTCATTAAAATAGACATATTCAAAAGCATAATTAAATATTTTTTCTAGCCAACAACGAAGAATAATCATTTCTTCAATATTTTTTGGAATATTTGGCAATGTTGTAAGGGAACAAAAATGATTATTACCATCCAATAATTTTTCCATTTCAATAACAAACTTTCGGTGCGATTCAAAACTATTAGAAAACAAAAAAATCGATTCAGATATCGCTTTTTTCCACTGAAAAACAAATTTGATAAGCTTTAAATTAATTAAAACCTTATTAATAAGTCGACCATTCAAAGTAAATTTAAAATCTTCAGGCACAGGTTTAACGAATTCATTTAGATTTATCTCCTGAGGACTTTCAATCTGAAATTTAAATTAAAATAATTAATAAATTTTAATAGATTAGAGACAGATAAAGTTCAGCCCAGGGTATGTATCGAACTTGAAACCTCCCGGCATTTATTTCTAGCGCCATCGGTCACCATGTCAAGTGCTCGACCGATTAAGAGGTGTGCTGCTTTCACCTAGATCTTAAGCCCCATCTAGGTACTGTTTTAAGTGCTAGCCATCTGGATCTTTGTTCTTAACTACAATAATAAATTAAATTTATAAATCTACTATTTCGAGTTTATTAAATTTCATTCTCGCCAATTCACTCTCATATTTATTAATTAAATTGAGAAAGTGAAGATTTGTTTGTTTAAAATAAAATAATTGATCAAAAGTAAGACATTTCAATACATCAAGTTGAACTTCGGTTGGTAGAGAATACATCATAATTATTTGATTATCTAAAAAATAAAATCAGAAAGAGACAGCAAGTCTTCAAATAGTGCTGAATAAATAGAAATACACCTGGCTTACGAGGATTCAATTGGGAATAACAAGGGCGGGAAACCGAAAAAACGTAAACGAAATTAAGAGCCTAAATAAAGTGTTAGATGTGAAAAAAAGAAAAGATGGAAAATAGAATAGCAAATTAGATATATTTGATTGAAATATGATTAAAGGGAAAAGTTTTTAAAGATGTATTGAGGGTATAATTTGAAAATATTTTGACGAAATAAAAAAATTATAAAATAATATTAATTTAAGTAGTAATCATCAATAATTTATTAAGAAGTTAACTTTAAAATTATGAATATTTGTTTAAAACTTTGTGTGTAGTTCTCAAATTTAAGCTTTGAAAACTTTGAATGTTTGCCCCTCTTACGTTAGCATATTTGATATATTTAGTAAAGTATAGGAAAATTAAGGTTGATAGACTTAATTTGAATATGATCAAAGGAAATATTTAAAAGATAGTTTAAGAAGATTGGGAAAAGGTTGGAAAAATATGTTTTGGAAAAGGCAAAATTAGAGGAAAAAGCAAAAATTTTCTCATACTAAACTAACTTATTAAGTTGACTATCCACTACTTATTTAAATAAAATTTTATAAAAATTTATTTTAAGTATCAACCTAAAAATTACCTTTTTTTAAAGATATATTTGACTACCTATTCATAATTCATTTATTAAAAATGAATTCTCTACCACCCGAAGTTCAACTTGATGTCTTAAAATGTCTTGATTTCGATCAAATATTCTCATTTAAACAAACCAATTTTTACTTCAATAATTTAATTAAGAAATATGAGGGGGGATTGGCGAGAAAAAAATTTTATGGACTCTTAATTGTACATGTTTACATATTTGTTTTAGTTATATTTCTTATTTTAGGCTTATGACAATACTTACGGTCTTCAGGAGCTAGAATTACATAAAATAATTGAACTTGAATCCGGACTTTTTGAATTTAATTTGACTGATCCACTCAAGAAAAAAGTTAAATTGAATTTTAATTAATTTATTAAAATTAATTTTTAGTGGAAAACAGCGATAGCTGAATCAATTCCTTTGTATTTTCATGGTTCTGATACTTGCAAAAATGTTATACTTACGAGTATATTTAAAAAAGGTGATGATAATTTATATGGGCAGATTATATGTTAGTTGAAAGAGCTCGGCATGAGGAGTCCAATACACCAAAATTATTAATCGGTCTTAGTTAATCGTAATTTTTGAAAATCATCGAATCAAGTTAATTTCGGTGTCATTCGACTCAGCTCGTCGAGCTATTCCATTTTTACCTCAAAAACCTACTAGTAACACTTAAGTGAAGCCCTGTTCCCTCTCCATGTGTATGTAAATACATTAATAGTTATTATGGTCTTTTTAATAAATGTTGTTTCGGTTCTGATTTTAGATCTTGTTCTACTTACATTTAATCAGTTCCAAGTGTAAAAAGTTATCGAGTTAAAAGTGAAAAGATCAGAGTCATAACTCAAGACGAAAGATTCTTACTTCTAAATCGAACCGAGATCATTTTATCGCCTGGATTAAAACTATTTAATGTCTGTTTTAGAAATATACTTAATTTTATTTTGTTACCGTTGGCTATAAAATTGGCTATAAAAAAATAACTATAAAAAAATTTTTTTAATCAATTTTGTTTATTTATCAGACAAAGAAAGACAAAGCCTTTATACGTTGGAATTGCCGAACGTGCCAAAAAATATAGAAGAAATGATTATTATTCGATGTTGGATGGAGCACCTTATCAATTGTGCTTTTGAACGTGCAGCTTTTTTCAGAGTTGTATTTAATCCCGAAATGATTAATTTATTGTTCGATAACGACAAAGCAATTCCTCTTCAATTTAACATTCAGGACCCATATCTCATAACTGACAATAATACAATATTTGAACATTTTTGGAAATTTGCTTTCCATCATTCAATCATTCCAGAATCTCTTAGTTTTTGCTTTAATCAGTCAAATTTTTCAGAGCAACATATTAATATTTTATTCAATTTTTTAATAAATGAAAGCAATAAATTAACAGAAGTATATTTTTCATTTTATGGACCTCCACGACTTTATGAGCTTATTGTTGAAGTAAGCCGACTTTCCTTTTTAAATAAAAATTGCTTTTATTTTTAGTATGTAGCAACATCTAGAGACTGTTCAAAGATGGTGGATTTTATTAAATTCAATTATTACAATGCCACAGGTTTACCATTAAGCGAGAGAGCAAGAATTGTTGAAATTGAACAACTCGGTGATCGAAAATTAACAAAATACCAAATTGTCAATATTTACAATCAAAAAAAGATATTTTATTTTTGCAGTGTTAAAGGGAAAAATGGATTAAGTATTATGTTATCCTCAAGAAATGTGGAAAAATGGAGTTATTAGGACTAAATAAAAATATTTGATTTATTTGATAACGAAATATGTAAACAAAAATATCAATTAAAATCTTTCGATCTAATTGTTTTGTTTATTTTATAAAAATTTAATATTATCATTCAAATATACATTAGTTGATTAAAGTCTGCAAATCTATTCTTGAATATATTTAAACTCTATTCAATACCGTATTTATTCTAATATAACGACATGTCGTTTTAATTTCCAACCTGTTGGATCCATGATTTTAGGATAGTAATTTATTATTAATTTTTAAAATTTTAATGTTTTTTCCTTTTTATTTAACCCATTCCCCCAAAACATATTTTAAATGTTTCTTTGCTTTTTATCATTTACAACATTTCCCCAAAACATTATTTGAATTTATTTCTCTTTATTGTTTCTTGTCGACATTTTCCTTAACCTACATTTGTTATACATACATATATATTCAAACTTGAAAATACTAACCTCTCCTTACTCCCCGCCCTTTATTACATAGGTATAAATTAAGTAGTAAAAATGCTAATTCTTTTCCTTATTTTAATCATTATTTTTAACTTATTTTTTGTAAATAAATATTTAATTTGTTAGAGTTAAATTGAAGAGTTCAATCCATAATAAATATAAGGCCGGGGATTTTATACAACCCCTTCTAGCGTGTCGTTATGTTAGAGACTGTCGTTTTAAAATTTAACACTTATAAAATATTTCAAAAAAAATCCACAAAAAATTTGACTGTAATTCAATAGTATATGTATCATTATCAATCCCATTTTCCTCATCTTCTCCAAGATCAATTTCTTCTAAATTTCCTCCCTATACCCCGAAGTTAATTACAACTATACAGACTAATGCTCGGCAAATGGATTTTACCGGTACCGGGAGTAGCGATACAGAAAAATACCGAAGAATGCGCTTTATTATGGCATCAACCCAAATTTTCGTAGCTACGTTCTTTTTCTAGTTATGAAATGTGGCGATGAACAATCGCCATGAAATCTGATTTTGTTTAGTCCCCATTTTGTTTATTTCTCTCCTACTCTTCTCATTTTAGTTTTTCTCACTTTTCACAATAAAATTGATATTTTCTTCACTCTGACTAAAATTATTTTCAGACTAAAGTTATAAAAAATGAATTTTCTTCCACCAGAAGTTCAACTAGATATATTTAAATGTCTTAATTTCGAACAATTATTAAATATTCAACAAACAAATAGTTTTTATAAAAATTTTGTTAAAGAATATGAGAATCAATTGGCACTTAAGGAATTTTATAAAATTAAAACTGTAATCTGTTAATATGTTTTAAATTGATTCTAAGAATTTTTTTAGGTTTATATTTACAAAGGAAGTTTATCTTATATGAAATTTTTTAAACCGGAACCCAAATTTTATGACTTTGAATTGAGTGAAGAACTAGAGAAAAAGGTTACGAACTAATATTTTTTGTTTAAAATAAATTAATTTCAGTGGAAATGGGTTATGCAAAAATCAATTCCTTTGTTTTTAAGTAATGAAATGTTAGTAATTTATGTTTCTGCCTGTCAAATAGAGCAAAGTTATGGATGCAAGAAAGGTTAATTTGTTAATAACTTATTCTAATAATTACCTCTAATAACTTATTAGAGGCCACAGTCAATTCCAACTCACGGAACAGACAGGTCGCGGAACGACATGTCACGGAATTACCAAATCACGGAATATTTTAAAAATCAGAATTTTTTTAAATCCGAATTTTTTCAAAATTCTGATTTCTAAAACATTCTAATTTGTTAAAAAAAGTCAATTTTTTAAACTATTCAGATATTTCAAAAAATTTCCATTTTTAAATAATTCCGTGACTTGTCCGTTCCGCGAGTTAGCCCGACACGATTTCACGGACTTTCCTCTAACTGAAAACTATTCAAATCTTTATTATTTAGAAATCCTTTTACAATTTCCAAACGTTCCAACAAATATCGAAGAGATGAAAATTGCTCGTTATTTACTTCATCAACTTTTTAAATGTGTCTTTGAATCTACTGATTTTAGTGGCGGTATATTTAATCCCCAAATGATTCAATTATTATTTGATGAAAACAAAACAAATATACCTTTACAAATTCATTCACACGTTGCCAATCTATCTATCGATAAAGGAGATTTTTCAAAATTTGCTTTGAATCATTTGACTTCTCGGGGATTTATCGCTAAAGTTATCCTTGCCAGCTATTTAGAGAAATGTAGAAATAATTTATTTGAAATTTTGATAAATAGAGGAAATAGATTTTCTAATGTGTGGTATAATAATGCTAATTCAATATTTTACGATCTAATTATACAGGTAAATATTTTTTGTAATATATCGGAGTTAAGGTTATTCCCCGACGTGCATATTTTAAAAATATGCACGTTATTCGAAATTTTTACATTAATATGATCATACGGAGATTATTCTGATGTTTTCAAAATAACTTTTTATAATTTTGGTCCTTTAATATACGGATTATTAAATAAAAGATAAACACATTGGGGGAAACTTGATTAATTTGATATTTATTTTTTAATGCAATTTACTATTTAGTAATTTTAAAAATTCTAATTTCAGCATATAGAAACATCAATAGATCTTTCTAAAATGGTAAAGGAAATAACATTAAATAATGTTTCTGGTGATATTTTGAAAAACAAAAGAACGGAAAATATTGAGAAAGAGATTGGCTTCGACAATTTGAGATCTGTTAAATACGAGCTTTCCAATAAACACAATCCAAAAATGAAGTTTTCTGTTAATATTAAAGAAGTCTCTAAGTTACGTTTTAATGTTGAAATAAAAGAAGTAATGAACGTCGCATTTATTTAGTTATAATGTAAATTCGTTTTTTGAACAAAATTTAATTTCAAAATTTTAAGCTATTCTACAAGAATGATAAAGATATAATTTTTATTAAATTTTATTTATTATAACCCTTTTTCCCGAGTTAAAACTAAATTTTATTTATAGCTGGTGTGTTGGTATACGGGGTTGTAATTCTTGGGTTCGTACCAGAGGTGGGTCGGAATTCAGATTTCCGACATTTCTTCCTTCCGATTTCCGAAAATCTTTTCAAATTTGACTTTTGAGTTGCAAAAAGAACTTTTACTCCCTAAATTACACTCAAGAATGCACCAGAATTTGTCACTTTACAATTTCATATAATAATTAAGTTTTGAAATCAAAAATTTTATTTCCGATTTCCGACATTTTTTTCCTTCCGATTTCCAAAAAAATTTTGATTTCCGAGTTCCGATGTTAAGCAGTTCGAATTTCCGGCTCTTCCGATTTCCGACACCTCTGACTGTTCCGAACCACCTCTCTCTTAAATGTTGATTTCCAATCCTGGAGCCATTAAATGAATAAAAAAAGATTAATGTAAGGTCAATATGCAAATTGACAAATGATAAAAGAAAATGGGCGTGTTCTGTTTAATAAATATTTTATGTAATACCCCTATCTATTCTTCAACATTCATTTTAAAGTAAAAGAAGAATTTTTCTAGGTTCGTCCATTCAATTAATTTTATTTAAAAATAAAATGAGTTCTGTTGCTTGCCAATGGAAAGAAAATAAACGAAGTTCTGAGGGTATTGTGCCTTATACATATTTGTTAACTTTCAATTTAGCTTTTTTCTCATAATTTTGACTTACAAAATTTGTTAATTGCCCAGAACCGATTTGTAAACAGGAGCCGGATCCAAGTTTAGTTGCGGATCCCGGAACTGGAACCAGAAACGCCAGAACTTTCCGGAACTCTTTCGGAACTTTCGGAACTCTAACTCTCTCTTATAATTTTTGGCTTAAAAAATTGGTTCATTCTCTTAATAATAGAAATATCAATCTCCAAACTAATTTTGTTTTGTTTGATATCACAACCTTAATCAAATTAATTTTTAGAGATTTTTATTTTCAAAATGAGTTTATTAAATAATCAGTCTTCTTGTTCTAGTTGTAGTCTCCAAGTTCGTATTCAACAGTTGGAGGTTTGGAAAAATATTTTTGGAAAATATTAATTTTATTTAATTTTAGAATGATAATAATGAAATGCAGATAAATTTACAACAATCGAATGAAAGAATCGCGGAACATGTAAATTTTGTAGAAAAATATGTAAAAATCTACGCCCCCCCCCCAATATTAACTTCCTATAAAATAATTATTAATTAAATACAAACACCCTTTATAAAAGCTATCCACACAATAATTGTAAAGCATATAGCTATTAATTTCCTAAGGCTGTGCAGTAGGCGGCGTGGTGTAATGGCTAACACATCAGTCCAGTCTACTGAAGATGCTGGTTCGCTCCCAGCCGCTGAATAACCTTTTGCACTAGCTAAAGAAGAAATAGCTATAGCCCAGCTGCTTCACTTAATATCGTTATTGATAATGGCTCGGACCTATATAGGGATCTGACTTTCGGTATCAGTATCAGAAAAATCGGGATTCAAAAAAACCGGTGTAATACAGACCGATACCGGTCGGGATCTCGATACCGCCCAACCCTAGTTTTAGAGCAAAAATCGAACGCTTTATTCTATCAATTTTGTCTTTAAGGATTTGTTGCTTCAACGAAACAACGAATTTCAACAAATGCATTTAGCATTTGTTTTTGAGAGAAATAAACGTTTAAATTTAAAAGAAGAAAATAAAAATTTGTTAAATAAATTTGAAAAAGAGAAAGAAAAATTTAAAGAAAATATTGAGGAATTGAGTAAAAAATTGGAAGAAAGTGAAATAATAATTGATAAATTAAATTCTGATAAAGAAAATATTCAAGCAATGTTTGATGAAGCAGCTATTTATATTGTTGAATTGGAAAATAAAATTAAATATAAACAAGAAATATTTGAAGTAAGTTTACAAAAAATTAAAAATATTGGTTAAATATTGGAGCTTAAAAATTTTGAATTTCGTTGCTTTTTATCTCCTCCTCCCTTCCTGAATTTACATAATGATAGACTTCATCCTCAAATTTTCTCAGATTTTCCTAAAAACTCATTTTTTATTTAACGTCTCTCATTTGAATTTAAAATTGAAGGAGTTCAGCTAAAGTTACTTTTAAGAAATGATATGTATATTAAAGAGCTCCCACTAAATTAGAATTTACGGTTTTTCTAAATATTTTCGGATTCCGATTTTAAAATTTTGTTAAAAATTTTAATATTTTTTTATTCCCTCGGGAATAAATATTGAAAAAATTTTGATACTTTGGTAATAGTTAAGTTTGTGTTTCCCCTTTTTTCTTTCGGCTGTAATGTAGTGTACCGAGGTAAAAGTGTGGGACGTGGCATGTCATTCGATTCGCCTCGACAAGCTGAGTTGAACGATACCACTCACAATTTCAGGAAATGAATCTGGACCGAGTTATATTATACCAAAATCGACCCTACTCCCCCATGGTTTTTCAATATTTCGGGACCTATAACTCGGTCCAGAATCATTTCCTAAAATTGTGAGTGGTACCGTTCGACTCAGCTCGTCGAGACCAATCGAGTGACTATGTCACGTCGCAAACTTTTACCTCGGTACACTACACTACAGCCAAAAGTAAAAAAAGGGGAAACACAAACTTAACTATTGCCGATACTTTTTCTGAAATATTTAATTTGAGAGGGTAAGGATAAAAGGAGGAAAATTTGGGGAAATATCACATTAAATAATTTAATTATAAAGATTATTTGGCACTACTAAAGATGAGGGTGCTATTTCTGCGGACTTTTTTTGCGGACTTTCTTTCTTTTTTAATGTTTCTTTTTAAATGTTTTAGTTGTTTTGCTTGCAGCAAGTTTTGCTTGTAGCAACTAACTGTCAAAGGATCATTTTTATGTCAATTTGAATAACGTAAAATGTTACAATCAATAAAAAATTTTACTTTAACTAAATTGTATGATAAAAATTCAATTACCCGATGTTGAATTTCAACAATGGATCACTGATCTCGGAATGCTTCATAGAAAAAGACCATGCGATTTTGGAACAGTATGCGGGTTATTTCAAACCCTGTCCCCCCTCCCATTATTTTTCTTACCTAAGATTGTACAAAATGGTCAGATTTCCTTCTTCCTCTATTTGAGCTTGGCATATTCAAACAAGAGACATTGATAAAGAGAAGATTGATTTAAATTGAGTTGTTCAGTAATGCGTTCAATACATTTTTTCAGTTGTTCAATATTTTTAAAAATAAATAAGAATGTTAAAGGTTTTACACAAATTCGTAATGTTATACACCAAATCAATTTTATTTAATTCTTTTTTTGTTTAACCTTGTTTTAGGAGGCAAAAAATAAGTGTATGACCTATAAAATTAATCTTCTCTTCATCAATGTCTCTTGTATGAATATGCCACAGGGCAAATAGAGGAAGGAGAGGAAGAAGAAAATCTGACCATTATGTACAATCTTAGGTAAGAAAAATAATAGAGGGAGGGCCTTTGACAGTTAGTTGCTACAAGAAAAACATTTAAAAGAAAGGAAAAGTCCGCAAAAAAAGTCCGCAGAAATAGCACCCTCATCTTTAGTAGTGCCGATTATTTTTTAATTTTAGAAAGAAATTGAAGAAAAATCTACTAAGCTTAATTTTGAGATAAAAAAGTGTAAAACTGCTTATCTTAAAAATGCTAGATTGGTTCGAAAAAATAAAAAATTATTTGAACGAGTTGTCTCTTTGAAAAAAATAATCAAAGCTAAAAATAAGAAAAATTTAAAAATTGTTGATTATATTAATCAATTAAAATTGGAAAATGAAAATCTTGTTAAAAATTTGCAAGAAAAGGAAGAGAATATTTGTTCAATTAATCTTCAGTTGAATGAGGTAAAATAAATAAATTTTTGTTTAAGGAATCTGCTGTTTTAAATAAATTTTTTTAAATAAAAATTTCACAAGCGGAACTTAACTTTTACACAAAAAATCTGATTTTATAAGGGGAAGGGAGTACAAGGAGTACAAGTAGTGCTTGATTTCGCATTTATCACAACTTTCTGGCAAGAAAACTGAATTTGATGCGAAACCGTTACGTAGAGCTGTTTCGAAATTCAAAAAAAGTAAATCGAAAACCCGAAAATTGGAATTTAGACAGTCGGTATACAAATGAGGTCGCCGACTATATTTCAATTAATTTTCTATCTTAAATTTAAAATAAAAAATTAAAATGATAGTTAAGTTAAAAAAATTTAATTTTTAAAAGGTTGTTCAAGAAAAACAAATTCTCTCGGAGGAAATTGATCATTTAAAATTGGAAAATGAAAATCTTCGTGAAAATGTTGGGGAAAAAGATGAAAAAATTAAATTGTGTGAGGAAGAAATTAAAAAGGTAAATTTAAAAAGATATTTTAATTAAATTTATTTTTGTAGATTAATGAAGAAAATAAAAAATTTTTGGAAGAAATTAGCCAATTAAATTTGAAAAGTAAAAATCTTGCTAAAGAAGTTGAAGAAAAAGAACAAACAATTTGTTCAGTTAATGCTCAATTACAGGAGGTTAATATATAAAAAGAAATTTTTTATTAAAAAATTTAAAATATATTTAAATTAACAAAAATACAGGGTAAAATTAGGATAAGGATTTTAGAGTTTTCTCTGTTATTTCCTATCAAGTTTTATCCGCTAGTTATATTTTTATTCTCTTTCTAAGGATTTCTGTTATATCATAAAAAATATTTTGCCTATTATAATATTATTTATTAACAATGTTGGTATATAAGGTCCAAAATAAATTTTTATATTATCCGCAAATATAGCTTGCAGAGCGGAGCTTGGGGAACCCTGCTCTGTCTACCCGGTCACAATTTTCTTGAGATGAACTGATCGGCTTAATCCTGCTAGGAATACTATCAGTACTTTAGAGCTTACGATCTATTGAAGAATTACATCGGATAGAAAGTAAAAAAATTTGGGCCATAAAATTTATTAAATTAATTAAAATTTTGCAGTATAGTTTATAAATACCTAAATTAAAATCCGAATTAATTAATTGCATAATTTAATTTAAAATAAAAATTCTTTAAAGGCTAATCAAAAAAATCAAAGTCTCTTGGAAGATATAGATCAATTAAATTCGGAAAAACGAAATTTTATTGAAGAATTTAAAGAGAAAATTAAAGTAATTAATGATCAAATAAAAGAGGTAGAAAAAATTATTTTAATTAAAATTTCGTTTAAATCGACAAAAATATTTTTAATAGGCGAATACCTCAAGTAACGAGAAAATTAATTTAATTGAAGCTAAACTTGGTGAATTATACACCAACTTGGATAAATTACAAAATGAAACTGAGAAGCCAGTGGTTTGTTCATTTTGATTATTAGACTCATAAAAGCACATAAAATACAAACAAAAATGCACATAAAAAGCTCATAATATGCATTAAATTTTGCAAAATATTCCCAAATATTAGGGTTTTACCCAGTCCACGTCCCCAAAAGTCGGGGATTGAGATTTCCTGATTAATTTACGTATTTAGTTTGTGAGAGTAGTCTTTTAGTACTGTTAAAAGTTTCCAATGAAATCTGACTTCTTGAGCTATAAAATTCTTAAAATTTGGAGCTACAAAAAATTCTCAGATTTTTTTCGGCGGCAAATAATAAAAAAATTTTTTCGATTCAGCGAAAGTTCCCCATAAAAAATTTTCTCCCTTGGATTTCCCACATAAAACTTTTCCCCATTCATTTGCATGTTTTTTTCAACCTTACTAAATATTAATGAAAGAATTCCTTTGTTTTAGCATTTTGTAAAACTTGACAACAAATTAACCTCAATTTCAACTGTCAAAACTTGCTGTAAAAATACTTGTATTAATTCTAATGTATCAGAAGGGACTTGCATTAATAATAAAGGATTTGTCCGTATTGTTGATTATTTAAAAGTAGAGTATCATTCTGTTGAGGGGAAAGGTTAGAAAATCAGAAAATTTAAGTGGAAATTAAAATTTAAAAAATTTAAGAAAATAATAAAAAGATAATTGTATTTGCTCAACGTCCATTTAATAAACCAACAAATAATAGTGATCAACATTTGTTTTATTTTGAAATTAAAATTATTGAGAAAGCAGAGAATCAAAAGTAAGTAAAGGCACACATGATTAGTTTTGGCGGTTCCGGTTATCCGGAAGCGAAAAAAGACCGGATAACCGAAAATTTCGGTTCGGTTCCTAAAATGGGACAAATATGTCTCCTTGGCCTTCCAAAAAAGGCGAAAATTTGTATTTACAGCCTAAAGAGAATTAGACTGATTTGGGTGTTATATCGAGGGATCAAGAAGGGTGGACATTTAAAGTGGAAAACCGAAGTATTTGCAGTATAGAAGGATATTAGTTTTACATGGATTAAGGCCACTCAATCCTCATAAATCGCTAGATACATAACATTTAATTTTGAAATCTGTCAATTCCTCTGTAAGTTGTAAAATTCCCCATCCTATCCACGGGATTGGGAATTAATAGAGGGTGGGGAATTAATCGAGTAAATACGGTGGGTGCTTTAAAAAACTTTGATTTTTATTTAAATTACGATGTTTTAATTTTAATTAAAACAATTTAAAGTTGCTATGTTGGAATTGGACTTGCTTATAACGGCAGTTACACTCGTGTAGTTGGTTCTAATGTTGGAGATATTTATGGGTGTGCACTTGTTTTTCCGGCAATTAATGAATTGAAGAAGCTTCCTTTTTATTTTTGTACACAAAATGGAAATCGAATTAATGGTGAGAACAAAAAAACATTTTGGGGTTAATTTAGGGCAGCTCCCCGAGCCTCTGAGGGCGGTAATGTCGTGGATCGGAGTTTGCCGGGATGTCTGGTTTCGAATCGATGTTTTTGCCAAAAAATTGTCGTGGTTTTGGGGGAGGGAGCTACCTTAGCTTAATAATTAAATTTCGCTATTTAAAAATAAATTAATCTTTTAAATTTAGGCAACACTTATTTACTTAAAGAGGATGGAGACTCTTTTCGTCCATTTATTAAAATTCGTTCCTGTTCTGTTGAAGTTAATTATGGAAATGATCTTGAGAACAAGCCTTTCTGTTATGATATTACTAAAAATATTTAAATAATTTTTTTTTGCTCCAAATAAAGTAGTTCACGACAGGGGGAAACGAAAATTTTGCTTATTTTTGCCAAACATTAACTGTTTTTATATACCTAAATTTAAAAATCGTAAATTTTGAAAATAGTACTTTTTTAAATTTTCCTCCAAAACAAACCCAGTATTTAATTAAAAACTATAACCGATAAAATTTCAATAGTTGCTAATAATCAGTTGTGAACTATTTTTCAAGTTTCAATTTCCTCATTTCTTTTATTCAATTTTTTGAATTCCCAATATTCACTTCAAATTTTTTAAAATTATTGTTTTACTTTCATTTTTTAAAGATTTCCTTAAATTTTTTTGTTTGTTTTTTTAGCCTTTTTGTGATTATTACTTTTTAAAGTTTATTATTCCAGTTTTGGATTTTTAATTTTTACTATGTAAAATTTGAATAAAGTATTTTAATTTTTATAAGTTTCAGTGATTTTTATATTTTTCAAAAAATTTTCAAAAACATTTTTTCCGTTATTAATTTTCAAAATTCAACTCATCTGATTAAGAATTGTTTTTCTTAATACGTTCTTTCATGTTACATTAAATTACAAAAAATATTAGTTTACCGTATTTACTCGATTAATTCCCCTGGGGAATTATTTTTTCAACCCATCCGTAGCATTCAAGGGAGGGGAATTATTCGAGTTTTGAAATTTGAACGTGTAGTAGGGTATTTGGTGGAGGGGGATTATTGTTTAAACTCATCTGTAGCCGGGGGAATTATTCGAGATATGGGAATTATTTGAGGGAGGGGAATTAATCGAGTAAATACGGTATATGATCTTTTCGGAAACAAATGCTTTTATAACATCCGCCAATGAATTTCCGAATAATCTCTCAAATCCTGGAATTGATCGAGAAAAACCCTTGTTAATTAGTTTTATTTAAAGGAAATTTTATTTAATTGAAAAAATGCTCGGACAAATTCTCAAAAACAAAAGTCGGCTCTAGTTTAGGACATGCGTCCCATGAGAGTTTATGCGTCCCATGAGCTTTTATGAGTCCCAAAAATACTATAAGCGTCCCTTCAGAGTATATGCGTCCCAAAAATAGTACAAGCGTCCTATCAAAGTAAAAGCGTCCCAAAAATAGTATAGGCGTCCCATCAGAGTATGTGCGTCCCAAAACTACTTTTTTACATTTATTAAAAATGACAATTAAACACATTATTATGCTTCCTTGCTCAAGGATCAACAAGCAGAAGATTAAATTTTGATCTAGCATTAATCGATTATTAATATGTAGGGTAGCCCCCCGAGCCTTCGGTGTCAGAAGTGTCGGGGATCGGAGTTTGACGGGGACGACATGTCAGGTTTAGAATAAAATTTACGATATATTGGGAGGTCCAGCAGCATTATAGATAATCTTACGATAAGCTGTGCAAAATTGTATTTACTTTTCTCTAGAAATAGACGAGTCAAAGATATTTCATGCTAAATGTAATCGAGAAGATATGTTATGAAGAACATATGACTGGATCTTTGGGACGCCTATACTATTTATGGGACGCTTTTTCTTTGATGGGACGCTTGTACTAATTTTGGGACGCATATACTCTGATGGGACGCATAAAAGCTCATGGGACGCATAAACGCTCATGGGACGCATGTCCTAAACTAGAGCCCAAAAGTCTAAATTAATAAAACTTTATTAAAAGCTAAATTGTTTTTTTTGTTTTATAATGTTCAACGACCTATGTTCAACGACCTGTCCCTGTTATAAGCTATATGTTTCTGGCGGAGTCTAATAGTCGCAAATTTGGATTCATAAGGACATATTTATGAACGGCTAGAGGATTTTTTACCAATCATATGAAAGTCTTTAAAAAATTGACAAACGGCATTATGCCTGCAATGCCTCCTCTCTTCATTTCTAAATTGATTAAATTTTTTAAAAATTTATTTTTAAAAAATTTTTTAAAGTATAAAGAAGGCATTATAGAGAAGGCGATTTTAAGAGAGTTAGAGAATTCTTTAATGATTTTTAATTAGACATTTTAGTGGAGAGCATTTAAAAGCAGGTTGTTTAATAGCTTTTAATCGCTCATTCACTCATGACTACATAGAGTCAGATGTCAATCTCGCGTGATTTGCTAATTTTTAAAGGTTTATACCTAAGGAGTATAAACCTCTTTCCGATAAGCTTATCACTCATTCCCAACATCCCCAATCTGTCATGGTTTGGGCCGGTATTTGGGCGTAAGGCAAAAAACCCCTTATTTTCGTGGATCCTGGGGTAAAAGTCAACAAAGACTATTACTTGCGGAAAATCTTTTAGAGTGTTCTGAAGCCTCGGTTCAAGAGCCATTTCGGTCGCAGGGTCTGGATTTTCCAACAGGACTCTGCTCCGGCACACAAGGCGAAAGAAGTTCAGGACTGGTGCAAGTCCAATTTTCCTGGGTTCATCAGCGCTCAGGAATTACCGCCCCACTCCCCGGATATAAACCCGAGGATTATTCTGTTTGGTCAATTTTGGAGTCCAGGGTCTGTGCTAAGCCTCAAAAAAGTTTGGAGTCTCTGCGCCATTCTCTCACCCGGGAGTGGGGCTTAATTACACTCAAAGAGGTGCGTGCTATTTGCGAAAATTTTTCTTCGCGCCTTCGCCTCTGTATCAAAGCCAAGGGTGGGCATTTCGAAACTTCTTGATTATTTTTGTTCCTTATTTAATTCTCTATCATCTGATTGTATTTTGATTTTATTTGATTGTGTTTTAATAAAGTTATGAGAGAAAACAAGTGTCCGGTTACTTATGCCGCACCCTGTAGAGTCAGATGTCAATCTCGCGTGATTTGCTAATTTTTAAAGGTTTATACCTAAGGAGTCTTTAACAGTCAACGCCTTCCCTAGGCCTTGGTTTTAAATTAATTGCAATTAATACAGGCATTCATTTAATTTTTTATTTTTATATGTTTAAAAGTATTTTTATATTTACCCTTGACTATATAGCCTTTACCCTTGACTATACTTATACATATGTTCCTAATAACATAATTCATTGAGGAAGTTTATCAAATTTTTATTTTGACACATAAAAGGGCAAGAAACTGCGTATCAGTAGGTTCTCTAACATAAAAAGGAACAGCAAAATACTTGTTGTTAGGTGGTATCATTAAAACTATTGTTTAATTGAAAGAGCTTGTCGAGCTGATTTGACTGAGTAAGAACCTATCATCTTTGACTTCAGTTTAAATTTTAGAAAATTAGGCAGAAGCAAAAGTCTAAATGGATAATAAAGATAAATTCCGGAGAGTTTCTGGTAGGCTTTATTCTTCGGGCAGGCCTTATTAAATGCCTGCTTTAACTGCTCCCTTATCGTTCGGAGTGCAACCCTTGTTGGCACGCTTAAACGTGCCATTTGTCGTATAAAGTTTAATTTGACCTATGAATGTGCGGTTGGTCATTAAATATTATTTACCACAAGGTAAATAATATTTTTGTATCGATATCTATGTACAAGTTTGATAAGTTTGTATTTGATTCTGGCTTTTCTGTACTTTACTTCTCAAATATCGTGCTTTGAATTACAGTTTTGCTTACACAGAAATAAAAATTAACAAAACTAAAAACAATTTTAACTCCCATAGGACGAACCCTAAGAACTCAAAGAAAAGTCTTAAGTCAAACTCTATACTAGGAGCCTTAACAGTTCTATCCTGCTAGTATTTATGTTGTAAGGAAGAGAAAGAGAGAGAAAAGATCCAGCTGGCTAGCATTTAAAACGCTGACAGCGGGGGGTTTAAGATCTAATAAAAGAGAAGGTGAAAGCAGCGTCCCGGTAGCTCAGTTGGTAAAGCACCTGTACGTGGTGAGCAAAAGCGCCTAGCAATAACTGCCAGGAGGTCGCAGGATCGAAGCCTGCCCGGGATTAAACTTTTACCTTGCTCTTACTATGTGTTGTTTAGTGAAATCGAAGGATCAACGACATTATTATTGCAGAATCCTAGAGAAATTTTTTAACCTAATAAGTAGGGTGTGTAATTATATGGAAATCCATATTTTTTTCCTGAATTCCTATGACTGTGAAACGTACGAAAAACATGTTTTTGGCTTGTATTAGGGTTCTAGAATGGTCTTTATAATCCATATTTTCCATATTTTTCCATATTTTGGCATTATGTCCATATTTTCCATATTCTTCCATATTTAGCCTTTATTTCCATATTTTATATCCATATTTCTACTTTTTTGTATATTTTGATCCATATTTGGCCATTTTTGATAAATTTTAGTAAAACTTTTCATAATTTTGGAAATTTTTGGTAAAATATTTTTTCGAAAATTTTCCGGAAAAATTTATTTTCAAAAAAATTTTAACAGAAATTTTAAATCAATAAAATCTTTCAGAATGCTCTTAAAATGCAAAGCTAAAGGCTAACTTATTGTTTTCTACATAAAATAATGATTTTTAAAGTATCTTTTCACTATTTTTTGATCCATATTTCTGGATTTTATATCCATATTTAGTGCTTATTTCCATATTTATATCCATATTTCAGGATTTTATATCCATATTTTATGGCCATATTTTTCGATTTTATATCCATATAATTACACACCCTACTAATAAGTATGTGTAGCTGATTTTATTTAAGAATTATTAAATTAATTATGTCATATTTTATTTTGATTTTTTATATAGGATCGCTTATAAAAAATTATTATTGCAGAATCGCTTGCTGGTTGTTTTAAAAGCACCCGAAGGCATGACGGTGGAGAATCTGGTGAAGTTTTGGTACTTTATTAATATCCCGCCCCCCACCCCTATTTGAGTCTCAAATTAATTTTCCTTTTTATTTTTCCTGCCTCGGAACGGTCAAATTTCCTTCTTCATAAATATTAAATTTTGCCGTTAGACACATTTTTTCGGTTGCTGTCTATTATTTCCTTCCTAATATTTGCCTTTTACCTGTAATGTTTGAAGGAGAAAATGATTGATAGTAAAGGAAAGGAAAATTAATCTGAGACTCAAATAGGGGTGGGGGGCGGGATATTAATAAAATACCGAAGTTTTGTTTATGTATTATAATTTTTATACATTTTTTAATATTAAGAAATAGCCACAACTTCTCATGGAGGTCAAAACACATGCCATTGTCGTCAATTTTCAATTAGTGAATTGAGCGAGCAAATAACAATTAATCAAACAGAACTAAATGTTCAACCATTATATATGAATATTGGTTATGGTGGATTTGGACACGTAAGTTGAGCAATATTTAAAATAATTATTTATTAGAAAGTACTTTTTCCATTCAACCGTTTTGTAAATTTAAGGTTAAGCATGCCTTTAATCTTGAACAAAATAAATGTTTTGCTCTAAAAATATCTCAAATAGATCTAGACGGAAGGAAGAACGCAGTAGAAAGAGAGTTGGATGTTTTAGCTTATTTTAATACATTGGAGTTGCAACAAAGAAATCATATTATAAAACTACATGATTGGTATTTAACATTAATAATCACGTAAATTGATTAAAACTGGCCCCTTTCTAATATACTCGTGTCCGGACAATGCGCCAGTGGACAATGCGTGAGTGGAAAATGCGTCAGTGGACAATCGGTCAGTGATGATATAAAGTGATTAAAAGTGATGATATAAAGAGATAAAAAATGATATAAAAAGACTAAAGATGAGATATAAAGAGATTAAGAGTATTTAACAAGAGATTCTGGGGGATTAAAAGAGATATAGGGGGATTTGTTGGGATTAAGGCTGATATCTCGGGTTTGGCAGGATTAACAGAGATATAAAGTTATTTGGTTGGGCTAAGATGGAGATCGATCGATTTGGAGGGATATCAGTCGATTTTTAATTCTTCATATCATCACTTTTAATCACTTTATATCATCACTGACCGATTGTCCACTGACGCATTTTCCACTGACGCATTGTCCGGGAGCCAATATACTAATTAATCAATCAAAGATTTATTTCATAAACTTTTATTTTATCAATTAAAATTTTTCAATTAAATTTTGCTTATCATAGGCTTGAAGACAGTGTAAATGAAAAGGTTTATTCTCTCTTAGAGCTTGGAGGAAAAACATTGAAGGATTATTTTCATCAAAAGGTTCTTGAAAGACACGGAACTCTCAGCAATGATAATATTAGAAATGAGCGGCTTCTTCTGAAAAATATTCTTAAAGGCGCAGCTCAGGCACTCAAACAATTCCATCAACGTAAGTAATGAACACACAGTCTCGAAATTTCAATTTCGAGGTCATTTCTTTAGATTTCCACTTTTTGTTGATATTTTCTATTATTGAAATTTTGCAAAATTTGAAAATTCTCGCTACTAGCACATCGTAAATTTAATAAATTTTTGAATACGATGCAAAAATATTAAATGTTTTCACCTACGGTGCTAAAGATGGAAAAATATAAGTAACTTCCAGCCTTCCAAAATTAATAGGATAAAGGGATTTGGACAGATATCGAGTATATCTGGGGAGATGAAGTGGATATATCGCTTAGGATTAATGTCCTATAAACGAAAAATCCGCTAACTCTATGCGCCTACAATAAGAAATTTAATCATCAAGTAGCTGGAAATTTTTTTTCCGACTTTCGAAGATTCTTTTGTTTCGGAACGACTCTGCCAATTAACTAAAAATTATTAAATAAATTCAGATGGAATTCATTTGGATGTTAAACAAGACAATTTTGTCATAGCTCTTGATGAAAATCAATCTGAACCTAATCATTACCCAGGATCAAATGAAACAATTCCTGTTAAACTGATTGATTTTAATATTTCTGTTATTACATCAAAAGGACATTTTGCGCACACTCGACGTATGGCAAATGGAATAAAAGCACCGGAGATACTAAATGATTCTCGTCGAGTAATTAACTTTTATAAATTTTCAATAAAATATCTAATCACAATTTTTTATGAATATAGTAAAATCCAAAAAAAATTTTTTTTAAACATAATTATATTAATAATTCAAGTCCGTCCGCTTCTTTTCCCAAACCTTTATCATTATAACTGCAAAAGCGTAAATTAGATTTACAAAATTTAATTATTTTAATTTTCGGAACGTCCCACTTGTGTACCGGCCCGTTTGTGTACCTGACCTTATTTTGGGCCATAACTTTTTTGATTCTTAACCGACTTAAATTATTATTATATCAATCGAAAGCCCTGGATGTGAGGATTATTTTCGCCAACAGGATTGATTTGATCAGATCATGTTATAAAAAGTATATCTCGATAAATGCGCTCAATCGTGATTTTGATCTTTATCTGTCTGTAACTTTTTGTATGATGATCTGATCAAATTAATCCTGTTGGCGAAAATAATCCTCACATCCAGGGCTTTCAATTGATATATTAGTTATTTAGATTAATTAAGAATCGAAAAAGTTATGGCCCAAAATATGGCCAGGTACACAAACGGCCGGTACACAATGATCCCCTACCCTTAATTTTCTATAGGCCACAAAAAAAGCAGACGTTTGGTCATTTGGCATGATGGCTCTCGGTCTCTTTCTTAATAACCACGATTATGGTACCGTTTTTTAAATTAATAAATCTTCCTTAAATAATTGTTATAGTTGATAGCTACTATGAACGTTTAGAGAATGAAATTTTAATTTCCTATAGAAATAATACATCATATCTTGGAACTTTAGATCAACTCATAAAGGTGAATAAAAAATATGCTTAAATTAGGGTGTGTATCTCAAATTTTTAAAAAACCGCAATTTCGAACTAAAAAATCCGTATTTTATATTAAAACTCCGCAAAAACTACTTTTCAACGTCGCAGGCGAAAATTTTGAGAATTTTAGAAGACCGGAAGAGAAAATAATGACATTTTATTCTAAAAACTATAGAAAATATAAAAATTCTCATAATCCCCAAGAGATAGAAAAAATCCACATTTTTAAGAATAATTCTCATCGGCCTATCAAGAACCCCAAAAATGAGCAAAATCAGTACAGATCAGTACAGACTTTGAAAAAGAGAAGGGGGGAGTAAACTCGTTTTGGGATGAAAAATTCGAAAATGCCCCCCGCTATAAGTCACAACATTCCAGATACGAACCGTGGATTAAATCGTATTATACAAATCCGTTGCAAAAAATTTAATCTTAATTTTACGAAAGGAGAAATTATGTCTATAGATATTTATCTCAAGTAAAAATATATTACAGGCGTGCATTCGTAGAGAACCAGCTCATCGCCCGACAATGGAGGATGTCGTTAGTTTTTTGAATGATGAAACCGAAGATATTTAAATATTTAACCTTCTAAACGGACTTCGTAAAAATTCAAACAACGAGGAATCTGAACAAAAACAACAGAAGTCCGGATATTTTCATTTTCTATAGTAAAAGCTTTCGGTAATATGTAGTTAAGTTTGTGTTTCTCCTTTTTTCTTTCGGCTATAGTGTAGTGTACCGAGGCAAAAGTTTAGGAACTGGCATGTCATTCTATTCGTCTCGATGAGCTGAGTCGATGGTACTACTCCCAATTTCAGGAAATGATTATGGACCGAGTTATATTATATCAAAATCGACCTTACTCCTCCTGTGGGTTTTCAATGTTTCGAGACCTATAACTCGGTCCAGAATCATTTCCTGAAATTGGGAGTTGTACCGTTTGACTCAGCTCGTCAAGACGAATCGAATGACTTTTGCACGTCACGAACTTTTATCTCGGTACATTTCACTACAGCCGAAAGGAAAAAAGGGAAACACAAACTTAACTATTACCCTCCTTTTTGTTTGTTTTTTTGCCTTTTTGTGATTATTACTTTTTAAAGTTTATTATTCCAGTTTCGCATTTTTAATTTTTACTATGTAAAATTTGCATAAAGATAAAGTTAAAGTAAGTTTATGAGTTCATGAATTCATCCTTCGACATACCTTGCTTTTCATTTTTACTCTCGTTTTCCTCCTTTTCCTCCAGTTTCATATTAACCTCTTCATTATCCTTCTCTTCATTAATTTCTTCAATTTTAGTACTAACTTCTTCCGGTTTACTTGTAGTCATTTCATCATACGGAATTTTAAATTTTGTAGAATTTTCCGCGCGCTAAAATAAATTTTTCCGCGCTCCTAAAATTTTTCCGCGCGCATTCAACTCTATTTCCGGCAAAAGGGTGGGCACTTAGAAAATTTTTGATAATATCTGTTCCTTGATTAATTCTCTATCATATAAGCTTGTTTTGATCCCATTAGCTCTAATTTGAATAAAGTTATGGCATAAAATGCGTGCCCCATTTCTTTCTTGTCACCCTGTAGTCATTTCATCATTTTTATTTTCTTTCTCTTCTTTGCCTTCATTATCCAACTGAGTAGTCTCTTCCAAATAGATTCCTTCCACAAAATTTTCTTCTCCCTGCGAAATTTCATCCTTCTTGTTTTGGTCGTTCTCTTCCTCTCCCGGTTGTCCTCCATCTAATTCAACGAAATCAGGCCAAACTGGAATCTTTGGCTGTGTAGAATGTTTGTTACCTTCTCTTTAGTTGTGTTAGATGTTTCTGTTGTTTTGTTAATTGTTTCTGTTGTAGGCACTAATTCCGTCGTAGTTTTCAATTCAGGAACTTTTTTTGGAATGAGAGTTTCATACCAAGTTTCCTCCCAATCGTATGCTCTTCTGTTGAATTTCCAGTTAAATTGATGCTTAAGCCTTGCATCTACAAAATTTAAAATTCCGTATGATGACATGACTACAAGTAAACCGGAAGAAGTTAGTACTATAATTGAAGAAATTAATGAAGAGAAGGATAATGAAGAAGAGAAGGAAGAAATTAATTGGAAACTGGCGGAAAAGGAGGAGCGGAAGAAGAAAATTAAAGAAGATGAAGGAAGAGAAGAGGAAAATGAGAGTAAGAATGAAAAGCAAGATATGTCGAAGGATGAATTAATAAATAAAGTGTGAAGATTAAAAAAAGATTTAAAAAAATATTCTTTATAACGAAATAACTTTATAGAAAAAAAGAAACAATAAATATAAAAAATAATGTCAAAAAGTAATAAATTTATCAAAAAATTTTCTTAATTTCAAAATCAAATTCTTCCTCATGTACGTGTTTATTATAAATAGAAAACTTCAATTTTGGATTGTGTTTATTGGAAAGTTGATATTTCTTGGATTTTAAATTGTTGTTTTCAACTACAATTTTAATATTTTCTGCTCTTTCACTTAAAATAATAGGTCCTTGAACTTTAGATAATTTAATTTCCTTCGCCATTCTAGAAAGGTCTTTTGATGCTTCGATATGCTAAAAATTAATATAATTTATTTTTTAAAAAACGGATAAATATAGGTTATTAAATTTTGTTTTCGGCCTTATTAATTCTATATCAGGGCTCCGATCCGTGCTTATTTTGGAAGTACAGTACTTGCAAATTGACCTCCGTACTTCCAAAATTGAAAATGTACTGACATACCTAATAATTAGAGAGCTAAAAATTAGAGTTCTGATGCACATCCCGATCCCGGATCCCGGCTCGGGATCATCCAAAACCGGGATCGGGATTCACCTTTCGGGCTCGGGATAAGAAAAATCGGGATCGGGATTCGAAAAACCCGGGATAATCCCGCCCGATCCCGACCGGGATCCCGATCCCGGCCAACTCTACTAATAATGGAAGAATAAACATTTGGAATAAAAATTAGAAGTTTTAGCGAGAATAAATTTTTTAAATTGTATTTTTGTTTGGAAACTTATATTTGGAAAATTTTCCCCCCATGTATTTCCAAATTAAACTATGTATTTGTACTTACACTTAACATTTTCTCGATCGGAACCCTGTTATATACATACGAGTATTTTTAAACTACAATACCTCAATAATAATATCATTAAGCTCTAGAGAATGATTATAGCAACAACAAATTTTAGAAAATTTATCTCCTCCATTCGTTAACATTTTAAATAAAATATTAGTATTTCGCTCAAGATTAGTGTCCCCGAAGTAACGAACGGTAACTTGATTAGAAATAATATGATTCATTGCAAATTTTAAAAAATAATTATCATTATTTTTGTATATACTATATAAAATGGCATTTTGAGATTGAATTTGTAATGGTATTTTTGTTGTTGTTTCATTTTCACCAAATAATAATTCAATCATCTGTGGATTCAATATTATATCTAACTGAACAATTCCAAAGAATGATATAAAAAGTTGTTGAAGTAAATATCGAGCAATCTTCATTTCTTCAATAGTTTTTGGAAGGTTCGGTACTTTTAAATAGTGTGGTCCTAAATAAAATTTAATTATAAAATATAATTTTCAAATAAAAAGGAGGAAGGAGGAGGAATCTGTGTCCGTACTAGGGTTGGAGTTTTCGAGTCGGGCCGACGTTCGAGTCATTCTTTTCGGGCCTCATTTTTATCGAGATGGGCATCGAGTCTTTTTCGGGCCAAAATTCGATGCCCGACTCGATCTATCGGACCGGGCCGGATCGGGCCCCCAACCCTAGTCCTTACTCTTCCAGAATCCCTCGCTAAATATAAACTTTTACTTTTAATCCGCCGTATCTTTAAACCGTGAGTTTAATACCAATGTGTGACTAAAACTAACGCGTTATTAAGGAAATACTCGGTCATAACGACGTAAACCACAAAGTTTATTATTAAATTCCAAAATATATGATTAGAAAGATCACCTTGTCCCAATACATAAAAACAGTCCGCCAACCACCAAGTTGATGAATCATCATTTAAAAACATAGGAATTGATTTTCTAATTCCAATTTTCCACTAAAATTAGTTTATTTTGAAATAAAAATATTTATTTTGAACCTTATTCTCAAGTTCTTCACTCAATTGAAAATCATAAAGTTTGGGCTTTGGATTAAAAGATTTATATATATTCGATTCACAATTATGGATACGAAACTAAAAAAATGAAATGCTAATTAGATTAATTTATGGTACTTATGGATATACCACCCCCCCCATATTTTTAGTATCAGTTTTTTCAATTTGTGTTCCTTCCTTTCTCGATAGTATTCTATTTCCCTTTGGTCAACATATAAAGGATTGAAAAATTAATCTCTTCTTTAGAAGAAAGTACATATTGAAAAACTCTGTTACTCAAATAGGGAGGTGGTGGTATTAAGGATGGCGGTTCCTGGGAAATCTTCGGTTATCCGGTCTTTTTCGGTTCCGAATAACCGGAACCGCCAACCTTAGGTGGTATATCCATAAAGTACCCAATTTATAAATAATTACAATTATGAGGTTATTGAATTTCATTCGAGCCAATTCCTCCTCATATTCATTAATGAAATTTTTGAAGTAAACATTTGTTTGTTGAATATTTAATAATTGATTAAAATTTAAAAATTTAAATATATCAAGATGAACTTCTGGTGGAAGAAACTTCATTTTAGTTTAGAAAGAGTTTAAATTTTTATGCTTGTTGTAATTAGTATAAATTATCTTAAAAATTAAAAAAATTTCTGTTTTATTTATTGAAAATCGTTTGTAAATGCTTTTAATGGAAAAAATGAAGTCAAAAAAAATTTTTTAAAAGCAATTTCAACAAATTTTTGAAAACAAATAAATTTAATTTTTATTTTAGTCCTTCCCTACTATTTATATATTTTATTTTTTTGCTAATGGCTATCAACAAATTTAATCTTTTTTTGATTTTTTAATTTAACATTCAAACATATTGGTAGAGATGGTGAGAGAAGGGGTGAATAATTTGCCTACAATAATATAGGTATAAATATACTTTTTTATATGTGGGAAATGAATTTTAAAAACTAATAAAGGGGGCCGTACTATTTCAGGAAATGCGGTATGTAACTTTGAATTAATCGAAAATTAAAATTCTTAAAAAATTTTTCGACCGAAAAAAGTATCACCTGACTTGCGAACTATTGCCCAAAATTTTTCCGCACGCCTTCGACTCTGTGTTAAGGCAAAAGGTAGGTACTTCAAAATTTCTTGATTATTGCTGTTCCTTATTTAATTCTCTATCATTTAAACTTTATTTGATCCCTATATCTAAATATTGAATGAAGTTATGGCACAAATAAGCTGTGCAATTACTTTCTGGTCACCCTGTATTTTATTTATCTTAAATATAAAATTTTTAAACAATTTTTAAATTCAATTCCCACAAATTAAAAACGATAATTTACTTAGGCAAGTCAATGCGAATAGAAAAGTTCAAAAGAGTTAAATAAAGGTTTGTTAGGGAAATTTTAAAATACCTTAAGTCAAATTAGGTAATGAGGTCAATTAGGTAATGAGACTAATTTAGGGGGCCGCACTATATTTAAACCCTTTTTCAAAATTATCTGAATCATTTTTTGCTTAAATTTTTTTATAGTATCCACAATAGTATGCTCGGAAATTATCCCAAATCAAAAGCTTGTTCCAAACATAAAATTAGCAGACCTTAAAAATTATTTAAGACCCGTCTATAATGACATCTGTATCAAGCTTAAAGTTTTTTTAATTTCGATGTATTAAGAGAGTAGAAAAATTATGGTGCTGTCCATAATCAAGAACGATGGGGAACCTCTGATATCGATGGGGAACCTCTCAAGAACCTTTCATATCCTCATATCTCTCTTAAATATTTCATATTCTTCAACGTATAATATAAAATATTCTTTACATTACCAGTTTATCTTATCTTAGCCTCACTATAGTGTACCCCTTGGGGTAAAAATGGTATCCAGGAATGAAGGAAGTTCAGTAAGTACAATAGAGGTTCGGTAGCTGATGAATTAGGTCTGGACTATAAATGATGAATTAGGCCTGGGCCTGATTCATCTATCCGACAACCCTACTATAGAGAGGTCCGACTGTAGTTATTCATATATTTTTAATGATAGCGCAAATGTTCTCGGCGCAAAAGTCACGGAACCCTATAAACTACCTATTCGTTATTCACCTTGATTCCAACTAATCCTTTTAAATTCATCCATACTTAAATCACTCCAAATCCATAAATATCCTTCCAAATCCGATAAAATCCCCATTAATCCCCCGATATCCTCTTAAGCACTCCTATTTCTATACCAATAGATATTAAGATTCAATAAATTAATTAAATATTGCGAGGAATAATGACTATGATTAGAAAATCAAATTTTGTCTATTTTTATATTTTTTAAATGGGGGCCGTACTATTCTAGGGGGCCGTACTAATTTAGGGGGCCGTACTATTTTTCAACCCTCTTCCAAAGGGCCGTACTATTTCAGGGGGCCGTACTAATTTAGCAGGCCGTACTATTTTAGGAAATACGGTATTTTAATTTCAAGCAAATTACAAAAGTAATACTTTGGTTTAGATCAGGGGTTGGATAATTCTACTTTTATAAATAAGCTCTTATTTTATAACCATTTTAGATTTATTTATCAAAAATGCTTTGATATTTTAAAATTACAAAATTTTTCCTTAAAAATTTATTAACCCTGCTCCAAAGGGGAGTACTATTTAAGGGGGGAGTACTAATTTTCAACCATCCTTCATAATTTATCATAGGAAAATTTATTTCAAAATTCTAAATGTCTAAATCAATTAGAGTTCGTTGTTTGAAAAATGCCGGATTCGGATCCGGATTTAAAAAAAATTTTTTTAATATAAGTTCTCAAAGAAATATTCAAATTAGGGGATAAATTTGATAAATGGATAAGGTTGGTATCGTGGCGTTTGATGGTAATAAAAAATTATCAATTAATTTTTTTGGAATTTAGTAGAGATATACATATCTGTTTCTAGGGATTTATCAGGATACCTAGAATCATTATATTCAGATACCTAGAATCTTTTATAAGGGAAAAGAAAAATTGTCTTCAATCTAAACCAAAGTAATGTCAAATTATAGAATTTTACATAAAAATGTACTTTCTTCCGCCTGAAGTTCAACTTGATATATTTAAATATCTTGATTTTAATCAATTAATATCCATTCAACAAGCAAATGGCTATTACAAAAATTTTATTTATGAATTCGAAAACCAATTGGCACGGAAGGAATTCGATGTAATCAGACTTGTAATATCCTATAAATTCATTCTATTCCACAATTTTTTATTTTTAGCTTTATGATAATAAGGATCATTATACTTTCAAGCTAGAACCTAAATTTTATGAATTTCAATTAAGTGAACAGCTTGAAAAAAGGTTAGGATGAGTTTCAAAAATTACAACATAAAATCAATTTTAGTGGAAAACTGGTATAGAAGAATCAATTCCGACATTTTTACGTACTTCTACTTCTGAAGCAGAAACTGATATGACTGTTCTTGTAGTGGATAGAAAGTCTGGTAATAAAATTGGATGAAAATTATTCTGTAAAATTAAAGTTCGTATACCCCCCCCCCCTTTTCCTTCCTTAAAATATTAAAGATGGACAGACATAGGTTTGCAAAACGATATCCGTGAGTCCCTAGCTTGTGTAATTATAAGCACCAGCTCCAGAGCCGGCAACTTTGGAGCCGCTATGATAAACACAGAAAATACAGGACCATAGGTTCTAAAACAAAGAGCTAAGTACTTATCTTCAATAAAGTAGCCGATTATCTCGACGAGCTCTTTCTAATGAGCTATCATTTGCAAGAACCTTTTTTATTCCAAGAAATAGTCCTTATGGTTTTTCAATTTTTAATGGTCTGTATCTCGGTCAACTCAAGTCGGATTTTTTTAGTTTGGTGTTATTCGACACTGATCGACGAGTTACTCGTGAAAAATAAGGGAGAAAGGGAAGGTAAGATAGAAAAATGGTCAGGAAAAGAAGGGGCGAAAACCGCAATTACTCTTTAAAACTGGTAATCCCTTTTTTGACTGATTATATTCCAAAGGGAAATACATAGAGAGAAGTCTGACTATTTTTAATAATTTGAGGAGGGAGCCTTCAGACCCACGAGCCTTCAGACTTCCAAAAAAGTAGTATATAATAGAATATATAATAGTATATATAATATAGTATATAATACAAGCGTCCCAAAAAATTTCAGTTAAAAATTTTTTGAATTTATAAATAAAGAAATTTTTTCTAAATATTTTTAACTTGATGATGAAACTCGAATTATTAAAAAAATTACTAAACCTCTAGGTATTTGAATAAACTTCATCTAGAAAGCTAATAGGTATTTTAAAATACTTTTAAAATTTGTAAATAGTTAAGTCATTTGGCGATCATTTGGGTAGCATATACATATTTTTTAATGTTTTATTAAGAAATATTTTTAAAGGGTACATATTATAAGATTTAATTATTGATTTCCAAAATACTAGGCAAATATTTGGCAAGGAAAAATTTTTTACTACGAGTAAAAATAAAATTCCATTTGGCTTAAAATTTATTTTGCATTTAAAAATTTATCTTTACTTGGCTTTTATTCTTTTAGAAAAATATTTTTAATTAATTAATTTAATTTTAGAAATCAAAAATGAATTTAAAGTTTTGTCTATTTTCTTTTTATTTTCTTTTTCAATTTTATTTGAACGAGGGGATTTTTGATGTACTGGTAAACTCGATTGAGGATAAGGGATTTAAGCAATATTTAAAAGACAAATTTGAGGAATTGGAGAGGAAATTAAACATTTTGGAACAAAAAATTGAAAGTAAATCATTGGAAGGGAATCTGAATTTATCTGCTAAGAAATTATGTAAAGAATTGAGTGAAATGATGGTAGAGAATAATTGGGATAACTTGAATAATCTGAATAGTTTATCCAAAGTTTTAACTGATGGGGAATTATTCTTGAAGGAAATTTGTAAAGAAAACCCTGAGGCGTGTTTCGATTACGAAGATAAGTATTATAATAATGCTCTGAATTCAATTCCTAATAATTGGAACAAAATATTTCCAATTATTTTGAATTTTTGGAATCATTGGAATGGAAAAATTAATACATTTCCTCAAAATTTCGATTTTCAAAATCATGCCCACCGCCGCTCAAAACGTGGTTATTATCGCTATAACAAGGATGATGAGGAAGAACGTGAGAGAAAACACAATGAAATGGTAAACAAATTCCATCGAGATGTTGAGGATGCTCGCAATTATGTTTGTAAAGCTTACATAGCTATCAACATTATTATGTTTATTGTTGTATATTTATATGCAACACAAATATATCCATCCCTTCATTAGGGAAATGTTTTATGAGAAAAACCAGAATAGCCAAATACGAGTAAAATAAGAAGGGTGAGGAGTAGCGAGAAACACCGGTCCAGGGTGACCATCTCCAAACCACTAAAATAGGGCGCAGCCACTCAAAAATGTGGCAAAAATAGGGCAAAATTGGTCAAAAATAGGGCAAAAAATAGGGCAGTATTTTAAAAGCTTAAAAGTAATTAAAATTTCAAATAAAAATTCCTTTATTCACTAGTTTTAACTAAATTGAGCAAATCGGGATCAGTAATAAAGAGATAATAAGTCTGGGTACAATTAAGATCAGAATTAAGTTTAATGGATACAAGGAAATTTTTTCTAAGAAATATTCGACACTTGCTTCATATCGAAAATAAGTCACAAATGCTGCCAAACTTCAAACAATTTCTTTAAACAAACGTCCAAATGACTCAATAAAATCCCGTACTTCATCCTTTTCGTGCCAATCTATGATAATAAACTAGTAACTTCCTCCCTTTCAGCGCCGCAGGCAAAGTTTTTTAAAATTTTGGAAGGCCAAGAAGTCAGATTTCTTCACTGTTTAGCGCCGCAGGCGAAAATTTTGAGAATTTTGGAGGCCAGGAGGTCAGAAATCCTTCATTTTTACCACTTTTTTACAAAATCCCAAAAAACTTAAGAAATATTACAAAATAGTAAAAATAGGGCAAAAATATGGCAAATGGAAAAATAGGGAAAAAATAGGGCGAAAAGTTCAAAAATAGGGCAAATGCCCTATAAATAAGGTAAAATGGTCACCCTGCACCGGTCTCTTTTTAGTCTCCGATTCTGTGTTTTTTGAATTAATTTTAGTTGTTTGCTAAAAACAAAGTTCTCCTAATTATAAAAATAAATAATTATTCGGAAAAATTATCAGCCGTCAAAAATTAATTTTTAAATTAAAAATTTCTTATTAAACACATACATACTACATACATATTTGGCTATTCCTTCTTTATATTATTTTTCTCTTAAAAATTGTTTAGTGGGTTTTAAAAATTTTAGTGGGTTTTAAGAAATTTATTTTAATAGATTCGATATAACAAGTTACATATTAACCGTTGCCCCCGTTTCGATTAATCCAAATTAAGAAATCCGGTTTTCGTTTTCGAGTTTTAGTTTCAGATAAATAGGTACTGATTTTGTTTTGTGAGGAATTTTTTTTGAAAAATCGCATTCTCAAAAATTATTTCTTTTTGAAATTTCATAAAAACGGCTAATTTTTAACAAGAAATATCAAAAATTTCTTTGGTTTAAAACCGATTATGTTAAACCATATGTTTTAACAAAAACAAGAAATTTCATTTTTTAGTTTTTGGTAATTTCTAGTAAAAAAATCATTTTATTCTTTACACGTTTTAGATATTTTAAATAATTTGTATGATTTTAAATCATTTTATTTCATTTGTCAACCTTTAGATTAGCAAAATATTTTTACAAACCGAAAATTTTTTTTAGTTTTTTAGAAATAAAGTTTAGAAATTTGCTTATTTTGGTTATACTCTAAAAATATTTTGGTTATACTCTAAAAATGTAGAAAAAAATAAATTTTGCTTAAACATAATATTTTATTTCAAGGACTCAAATTCCAACAGATGGTTCCGTGACTTTTGCGCCGAGAACATTTGCGCCGCGACTTATGCGCCGCGACTTTTGCGCCGCGACTTATGCGCCGAGCGACTTTTGCGCCGGGGGACTTTTGCGCCGCGACTTTTGCGCCGGGGGACTTTTGCGCCGGGGGACTTTTGCGCCGCGACTTTTGCGCCGGGGGACTTTTGCGCCGCGACTTTTGCGCCGGACGACTTTTGCGCCGCCGCTATCATTAATAATTATGAAAAACTACAGCCTGATCTCGCTATAGAAGATGTAGGATAGTTGAAATCTTCGGATATCAAGATCCGGATCCGATATCCGACCTAAAATTTTCGGCTATCCGGCCTTTTTCAGATCCGGATATCTGGACCCGACAACCCTACACTATAGTGCACCCTCTTATGACAGAAAATCATGCCTGAATAGAGGCAGCAGACCAAATATCCTGATTTGAAAAAGTTACGTCCTTTGAAGATGACCCCTCTAGGGGGTCGGTTTATTTTTCAACCTTATTCTAGGGGGTGGTTTATTAGAGGGGGCTATTGTACTTCTCGAAATATTGTGCTTCCTGGAATTTCTTCAGCTCCTGGGTACCATTTTTTAAGGAGTACACTATAATTAGGTCCGACTGTAGATATTATTTTTTTCAATTATGGCGGCGCAAATGTCGCGGCGCAAAAGTCGCCCGGCGCAAAAGTCGCGGCGCACAAGTCGCCCGGCGCATGTGTCGCGGCGCAAAAGTCGCAGCGCAAAAGTCGCCCGGCGCATAAGTCGCGGCGCAAAAGTCGCGGCGCAAATGTTCCCGGCGCAAAAGTCGTGATACCCAACAGATATAGGTATATGTGTTTATTAAAAAGACAAATCTTAAAGAAATTTTTAAATCAAATAAAAAGTAAAGTGATATGTCAATTAATTCCCTTAAGCTCAACATAAAAACCTCCATATTCCTCTTTATGATAAATAGAAAATTTCATTTCTGGATTGTATTTATTGGAAAGTTGATAATTTACGAATTTAGAATATCTTTTTATTTCCCATTTAATATTTTTTGCTCTTTGACTTAAAGTAAAATGTCCGCATATGTCTTCAAATGTAATTTCTTTCACCATCTTAGAAATATCTTTTGATGTTTCTATATACTAAAATTATTTTTTAAAATTATTCCTTTAATTTATTTCAAAAGGTTCTAATAATAATGCCAAATCTTGATATAACGAACTTGAAGCAACTAGGGTTTCAGATAGGGAGTATGACTTAGTTGGTTGAGCGCCCAAATTAAGACAAAAAATGCAGTAAGTTCGATCCGACTCAAGAAAATGAATTATATAAAATGATCCTATTTAGCATTTAATCTAATGTTATACATATTATCTATATTTTTGTCAGATAGAATTTTGAATCTCCAAAATTTTTCGCTATTATGGCCGCGCGCCTCTTTGCGCGTACCTTTTAAGAGATTTCACTGACAATAAAAAACCAGCCAAAATCTATCAACCTCCTACCTTTATAATATGCTTGCAAAGTTCTGTCAAGCATTGACATCCATAACAGACTTTGTAAAATTTATTTCCTTCATTTGTCAAAATTTTAAATAAAAGATCCATTTCATTTTTGTCTATATCTAGAAAAATCCCAAAATTTACAGTCAATTCATTAGAAATTAGATAATCCAAAGTAAACTTAAAAAAGCATTCAGTCGCATTTTTAATAAATAGTTCAGTCCTTTGACAATGAAATTGTGGAAGTATATTTGTTTTATTCTCATCAAATAACAGTTCAATCATTTGCGGATTAAATATAATAGAACTGAAATCAGCAGATTCATAAGCACAGTTAAAAAGTTGTTCAAGTAAATAACGAGCAATCTTCATTTCTTTAATATTTTTTGGACGATTTGGAAAAGGTAAACAAAATTCTAAATAAAATTAGAACTAGAATTCGACCTATTTAAATTGTCGGGCCCAGTATCGGGATGGTGGTTAAAACCTCAAAAAGCGTGCAAATGCATTCAGTTTATCAAAATCATGCCCACCGGCCTGGAAAACAGTGGTCCTGGTCGGAGTCGAATGAATGAAAGTTTATTTGTTTTATTTAAGTCAAGCTTGATGGGGTAAATGTCCAGTTGGCGGTCTACATGTCCGCAAAGAGAATCTGCTCTTTTCTTTCCTTTTCTTGCATTTTTTGCGTTGGGAGAAGTGCTCCGCTCATTTTTCCTTTTCTGCCATTTTTCCTTCACAATACAGTATGTTCTCCTGTTCATACTTGCAAAATAAAAATACCTCTAATTAGAAACAAAATTTATTTTACAAATGATAATTTTGGATAACATTCTCAAATAGATTTATTAAAATATAGGGTTGATAATAAAAACTATGAGGGGGAGGATGGCTATAAAAACTGGGCCAATATCTTTACTCAGGGTTCGGATCGAGAAAATGTCAAGTGTAAGTACAAAAAGTTCAAATTGGAAGTACACAGGGGGAAAAATTTTCAAAATGTAAGTACGCTACAAAAAAATTTTTCAAAAACCTTTTTTAGTGCCGAAGTTGCTAAAAAGTCTTCCATTTTTTGCGCCGCAGGCGAAAATTTTGACGATTTTAAGGGGTTTTGACGATTTTTCTCAAGTCTATGTAACTATTATCATTACATATACCTGAGAAAATTTGATTCCCGATGATTTCGGGAACTTTGATATTTTCGATCAGAACTCCCTGAATACCTAACCAAAAATTCAAATGATGGGATCCTTTAGAACATACTCTAACAGATGATTCGTAATAAAAAAATATTTTCTAAAAGCTTAATTTTAAAAATCAAAAAAATCCAAATTAAAAAAACGACACTAATTATGACCCGACCTACATAATAGTTGTTTTGTTTGCCTTATTCAAACGAAAGAAAAATAAAAGGGGGGTGCTGCTATTATCCGAATATAAATTTTTTGGCCAAATAAAACTTAAATATGTAAAACTTTCTCTTGAACTTTTTGAAACCCCTACTTATTTTCATTTAACTCGGAACAAATCATTTTTTTACATGCATAATTCTAAAAAAGTTCCCGATAGCAAAGGATTTTCCTTCAATTCAGCCATCTTTTTTTTTGTTTTTGAGTGCCCCTGTCTCATACATTTTTCTCTTGTTATTAATAAATGACCGCATAAATCGATGGTTATTAACGAAATGTTGACTATGAACTAAAAAATAGATTTATAACCTCAGTTAACTTGGAACAACGTCCAAATAAAACCGCTGCTTTTAGAATCTTATTTTCTTTTCAGACAAAAGTTAATAGTATAAAAATGTATTTTCTTCCGGCTGACGTTCAACTAGATATATTTAAATATCTCAATTTAAATCAATTATTAAATGTTAAACAATCAAATCGTTAC